GTATATAAAGTTCAGTGTTCAAAAACAAAACAGAACAAAACAGAAATGATGAAAAATTTAACCAAACTGGCATAATTGTTAAAATTCATACTAATCATGACGGTGTCTGAGCGAATATGATCATGCTGAAGTTCATCGCGGCTCGCTCATCATGGCGATCTCCGGTCATCACAGTAAAGCAAGCCTCAGAAACTACATCAGCCACCCTTCGATATCCTTTCCGATACGTTGAGTGGAAAGTCACATCAGTCACTGCAGCCGAGTTTTGCGGCGCTATCATCACGAGCGATCTTCATGTTCCGGTGAATTCGGCTGTCGTTCACTCAAAAAACACTCGCCTTGAACAGTTTGTTTTCTACCTTGTCATGTGAAAAAACTCGTGTGTTTTTATGAGCCATAATTCGGCTGAAGTTCACTGAACATTTCACTTCAAGATTCTGTATTAGAGACTTAAAAACTTCAGGCAAAAGTGTTGAATTTGACTTGCCGAACTACTTTAGTTTGTAAACTATCGTAGAATGTGAACTTTGATGGTTTTTGAACTTTGATGGTTTTTGAACTTTGATGGTTTGACACTTTTGACAGCTTTAGTCTTGTACATCCAATCAGATTATTTGAAGCATTCTAACAGGGATTCCGATTGGCTTATTGTAGCGTGCTTTATGAGAGTATAGAGCATGCTGACGACACTGTTGTTCGCTTTGGAAATAAAGTTTGTTTTGAAAATTGAAAGTAATGCTTGGGTAATTTAACGGATTCTTTATTATAAAACAAATAGAGAAGCCTTGACTGTGCTCTGTTCTGTTATAAAGCACTTAGGAAGCGGCTAGAGCACTCAAGAAGTGAGAAGAAACACTCGACTACGTCTCGTGTTTCTCCCTACACTTCTTTCGTGCTCTAGCCGCTTCCTGCGTGCTTTATAACAGAACAGAGCACAGTCAAGGCTTCTCTATTTGTTAAGTAAAGCTAATAAACTGTAAAATCCGAAAATATCAATACATTTTAACATTTTTGTTTTGGTAGGCATGCACCAGCCTTAAAGCGCAAAGCTAACCGTACTTTCCGTAACTGAATTACTAGCCTTCGCGTTATCGCAGACATCCGAGCAGACTGAACTATATCACTCAGGCTTTTTCGATATTTCTATCGGTTGCTTAGAAAATCCCTTTTGAATTTGGGCAATAGAAGATTTTCTGATTGTTGTTACTAGCTGGGACGTCGGTAAAAGCCTCGCAAACTTTGTGCGCTAATATCTGACGAATATTTTGGCCAAGTTTAATTAAAATTCTATAAATCTACATACCGTGCACGCAAAAATAAACCTCGAGTTTTCGACCTCGGAAAAAATTCACAGTTTACGAACCTCGCTGAAGCGGTTGTCAGCTCGGCCATGCAGCCAACCAATGAAACGCAACTCAGAACCCCCTAGCGAGTCTTGCGACAAAGAAGTATTGACCGCTCCCGGGAAAGTTTTCGAAGTGACGTGACACTGTTTACATTTACAGGGGAACATTACAACCGAAAAAGAGAAGTCTACCGCAAAAAACTCATCAGCTTATAAACCGATTTAAGAGGGCAAGGAGAAAAGAGAAACGATAGCAGAGTAGCCTTGAACAGGCCTAGTCGGCAACCCGGTCGGAGCCCAGCGTTCGGATATCTATACAGGGGCGGATCTAGGGGGAGGGTGCAGGGGGTGCGCACCCCTCGCTGACATGACCTGCGGCTTTCTAATACAACTGGTGTTTACGTCCAGTCACCAATCAGCTTCGCCATTCCATAGTGGTGCACCCCCTCCTAGAAAAAATCCTGGATTCACCTCTGACTATATATTAAAACTAAACGCGCGATTCACGCTTCGTCCGGTTTTTTTTTTTTTTTTTTTTTTTACTAGAATATAGGGATAAAAAACAGTCTTTGAAGCAGAGGAAAGTAGTGTCTGAAACACAACTGCCATCGCAGATATCAGCGGTTAATTTCATAGCAATTCCGCGGCAATCCAATTCGGTTTGTTTTGCCAGAAGAAGGCAGCGACAAAATTTGCTTGTGATTTGCGCTCACTGGGGGAGTGCTCAATTAAGATATTGTATTTATTTTATTTAATTGAAAGTATATATCACCCGAAGAACGTCTGCGAGAAATAACTATTCCGATATGACCAAAATGCGATTTTAAAAATAATTTCATTCTTCCAACAAATTGTATCCATGTTGGCTCGCTTTAAGTCTTCTCTCAGTTCTTTTCCGCAACAAAGGAGGTATGACGTAGATTAAGGAACACGTGAGTTCAAACTACAAGTAAACAGATCTGGAAAAATTACCAGAAAGATGCATTGCGGCAAAAACAAGATGCGAACACTCACTACTTTCATTTGTTTGGTACCGAGAAGAGAGTTGAAAATACGACGCGCAGCGGAGTATTTTCGACTAGATTCGAGGTGTTTGGATAGCCGATGAAAGACTGTCTCGAGTGTTTGATATATCTTCTCAGTCGAAACAAAAACTAAGGAGTAAACGGAGAAGTAATATAGTCAAAATCTATGCTAATTAAGACCGGGTATCCAAACCTCCTTCACGGTTATAATTTCCTTTGTTTAAACTTGATGAATTATCAATAAGTTTGAGAATTGCAATTCAACAAGCGCGGACAACACAACACAGGACGTCACATATTAGCCTATTCAGTGGCCAGGTGTATCGTAAATCTGTGGTAGCCAGTTGACAAAATCGACAAAATCGATAGAAAAAATGAGGTCGATAGAATTTAGTTAAATATATCGGAAACAGGGGTTTCAATAGAAGCCGGTTACCGGCGGTCTACCGCCGCCTGTAGGACCTCTTAATGCAAGCGGTAACAAGCCCTATGCTCCCTAGTAATTCTTTCTTAGTGCGCGCTTGATGTATGATGTGGTGAGAAGTTGTGACATGAATTACGTGCTCAGTGAGGATGCGCGGAAACCATGGGCGCGAACTTCCTTGTAACTTGCAATTGTTTAAATAATTCTTTTAATGTAACTTTTTACTAGCCTTTTACAATTTATCTTTTACACAGGACCTGCATCGATAGCAGTGTTTTCTTTAAGACTGATGCAGCAATCATGTATAATAACTGATTCCTCTAAAATCTTTCTGTTTGAACTGAGTAGTACTGTGTTCTTCGAGAGTGCTCATTATTTAGGAAACAAGGAAAACTAGAGAGAGGCTTACATCCGGGGGTCGTTGTAATCGAATGAATTTTTCTGCTTACAAGTAGGTGGGTCTATAACTGGGGAGGGATTATAAGCGCTTATAAACAGTGGTTTACGTTTTATTAAAATTACATCGCTAACATGTATGGTTTAAATGCCAGTTTCATACAATAAAGGGGAGGATCCAGGAGTTCTTGAAAGGGGGGTTGTCGGATACGGGGCCATGCCCCCCGAAAATTATCCGGATTTTACCCTCTACAACGTAACTTGACAATCAGTCGATTGGTGGAAGTGAACAAACTACGTATAAAACAATTTTATCATATTATTTTTATGAAGAGTTAAATAAATAACAAGAACATACTGTTCAAAGAGGGGGTTGCAACGCCCTCAACCCCTCGCCTGGATCCGCCTCTGTAATATCTTCTCATTATAACCTATGTAGCCTTATTTTGACCATCAAGGAACTCTTTAGCTTTTTCCTAACGCTTGCTGTTATTTTTGTTGTTGAAAACGTTTTATTTTCTATGAAAAGCAAACATTAAAGTACCGGCAAAAATACGAGTTACTTCAGAATTTCACCTACTTCAATTAAACTGGTGAAATGTACATCAATTAATTCTAATTGAAAACCCGGGTAAACAGAAGATGAAACAAAACGGGTACTGCAGTTTAAGCTAGTTTATACCAGGAGCTCCACGACTTAACACCTTTATTTTTGTGTTGTTATGTTGCATGGCTGCTTAACGAATGCCCAGATTCGATTAGTCAATCAGTCAAATCGTGATCTCGAAAAACAGTCACAGTACCTCTGCTTTGGTTTCCAGTATCGAACAGTTTTGACTTTGGTGCAGACATTTGTTACAGCGCTCTCATTCGTATTTTGACATCGAGAATGTTTGTTGAAATTTGTTAACACGTTTCATAGGACAAGAATGATACTTTGTGTTGCTCTTATTGCACCCTTCATTATAGCTTAATTCAAGATCGGGCAGTGAGTATCTTCCTTAAGATTTACCTCCTCTACCTTTTAAACATCTAGCTATACTTAGAGTGTACAGACCTATTTAGCAGAAAAAAGCTATTCAAAGTCTACAGGAGCCCATTACTCCTGAAGTCTTTATATATGAAACAAGTAAAACTGATCGGAAAACTTAACAATGCAATTGATTTTGAAAAGATCACTGCCCTTATCGGGCTTTGATATAGAACTGCAACTTTTTTGGGGCTTTTTCAGTTGTAAATCAACCATGTTCACAATGGCACGTTCGCGAAATGACGTAATTACTATAATTAAATGACCGGCTTTTTCTGGTTGTGGATCTGGCTTTTGCTTATAAATCGTGGAGTGGAATTTTCCGAATTTACTTTAGTTTACCTTTCAACAAAGTGATATGCATTCTTCTTCCTTCCGAAAAAAAATTATGATAAAAAGGGAAATCAAATGCCACAAATTTTTTTGAACGGAAAAGTTAATTTTTAAACCTAAGTCATGGTTACCTAGCAGCGAGGCGCGTTGGTTGCCCTATGTCAACCGTTAAACAATGAAGAGAATATTATTTTTGATCAGTTATAATTTTACTTCTCTTTGGTGACGGAGACCGGTAACTTATTTTTTTTGTAGCTATTACTGCTGTTAAATTTTTCTCCTTTTATTTCAAGCCAAAAAATGCAATGTTTTAAAAGTAAGTCAGACATACGGCTTGAAACTACCGTCCCCGAGTGGATCGAAAATAAATTCTTATTACCACGGGGTTGTCAAAATCATACTTCGCGTTCAAATTGACCGTGGAAGTCAAATTCTATCAATTGAACATTGTTTTTAACACAATTCGGGTCGCAGTTGAGGAGTAGAGGCTCCTTACGTAAGGAAAACTGGTAAATATCGAGTGTGGATTACAAAATAGTAAATGCTGCAGAGAAGATAACAGTGTTGATATTGAAAATGCGGCAAGTCTGGGGACGCTCAGTATGGCAACTGCGTTCGAATTGTGCGACTTCGAACCTGCTCGTCGTGTTGTGTTTATTCGCGATATTTTCAGCTGTTTCGGGCCAAGATTCATGTAGTGTTGGACCATGTTATCCTTCTCCTTCGGACATTTCAAAGTATTTTAATGTTACGGCGAACTCAACTTGCGGTAACCCGTCAGAACTATACTGCGTTAACTTGGATTGCACTAACGTTTGCAACGCATTCGACGATAATCTTGCACATAGTGCCAGTCTTGTGAAGGACGATTTTAGCAAAAACACTTTCTGGAAGTCAGAAAATTACGAGTTTCCTGTGGTTCTACAGCTAGAGGTTCGAAGAACTTTCATGCTGTATCAGTCTGTGGTTACTTTTTATCACGAGTTACCGGCTGCAATGTACCTTTTGAAGTCAAATGACTCTGGAAGAACATGGAATCCCCTAACCTACTTTGCAACGAACTGTACAAAATATTTTAATCTACCAGAAACGCCAGAGAACGAAAGAGAGGGTTTGAAAATTCAGTGTTTCAAAATAGACACCGCTACAAATCTCAACAAGCAGGTAAGCTTTTTTGATAGGACATATTTATTTTGTAGATGCTGCCGTTGGGATTAGCTCACTGTTGTTGGTACCATAATTTCGTAGCTTTATAAAGTGCCACAGCAATGGTGAATTATTTGAGCAATCGTTGTTACATCAACCACCTGCAGATAGATAGTGTGTTTGAAAGAAGTGGTTACTGCGTTTACTTTGACTTAAAAATTGTGGTTGCAGAGGTTTCCCGTACCTGTTAATCGAGGCACATTATACCAAATTGATGCTATTTATGTCGGAAAGTTGCTTCACCTTTATCTAATAACCTTTGTGTTCAACAATCTGTGACAAGTTATATAAAATGGTCAATTGAAAGGAACCATAGTTACTAACTTCCTCGTAAACGCAAAATCTTGGTTACGAAATGTTTACTGAACCTTTACCATTTCTAAGGATCGCATTACCACTTTGCCAAATGTTGATTGACAAAAAATTGATTAGAAAGATTCTGTGTTACATTTTCTCTTATATTTCGCCACAAATCCGCTCAATATTCATTGATTACTTAGTCAATGTAATTCGACAAAGGAATTCATGCGAAGTCAGGAAAAACGTGCTAGAAATTTGTAATTCAATCTTTAACGCGTAAGACGATTAGATTTTTCAGACTTTGTTTGACTTACTCTTCACGAAATCGATAATAACCATTAACATTTTAAATTGAAATTATTCTTGTTTTTTACGATTAAGAATACTTCGGTTAACTTGAGGATATTGTAAAGCACAACTGGAGGCTTTTTTTTATCCCGCTGTGTTCATGAAGAACATAAAATGTTCTGGAATGCAATCGTCTTTAGTTTGTACATAAACAGAGCTGAAGCTATTGTTTACATTTGCAGATTGGGTTTTGTTTGGTGAATTTTTCAGAGATGATATCACATATTTACATCTTTGCCTCTGATTATGATTTGCATTAACTTGTATTTTTAAAGAAGGAAAGAAAAGGAAAAAAAAAGAAAAAAAAAGAAATCAAAATTTCAGTCACTCTCAGGCTTAAACCAGGGACAATTTGTCAAAATTACTTGCAGCTTCCAGTAGTTGGTTTACTTAATTTGCAGCTTTTCAAATAGAGGTTGAGTTTTATCTTTTATATTGCAAATGAATGACTGCTTAACTACTTATTTATCCTTGAAATGTTTTTAGCAGTTAATGAAATGTTTTACATGGACACCTGTAACTTATCATATCACTTGAGGGTTAGAACCTTAAAAAACTAATGAATACAATAATTGATTTGTATATTATTCAAAACAGCATCAGACAGATAATTTGTTGCAGTACTTTAAAAGCACATGAAACACCAGAAAAAATTTTTAAAATTTATGCCAAATGATGGTTAAAAAGTTGCTGTTGATAATACTTTTTTAAGGAATGAGTAGTGATGGACATCAATTATATCAAATGATTATTTAGATAGATTTCTGCATAGCCCCATACTTCATTATGTGTTAAGTTCTTTAATGAAGAAAACAATAAGTGAGGGACAAAAATTTTTGTTAATCAGTCACAGAAACATAGTAGAGCAAAACCAACTCAGCTCTGGATTTTATTCAACACTGAATTGAACCTTGCCTGTAGGGTTAAGAGTGACACTGCAGAGGCAATAAATATGTTTTGCATATGCAGCATTCCCCTGTTGTAAAGGAATGGAATAAAGGAGAAGTGTTCATTTTATAAATCTTGGTCCAAATATTAAAATACATCTCTCAAAGCAAAATCAACTCAACTCTGGATTTTATTCAACACTTAATTGAACCTTGCCTGTAGGGCCAAGAGTGATTAGATAGCAGAGGTAACTGATATGTTTTACCTACAATGTACATATAGTGTTCCCCTATGGTAAAGTAATGCTGCAGTAATGGAGAAGTGTTGATTTTAAAAATCTTGGATCAAATATAAAAATACATCTCTCTCTCTTGTAGCTCTTTTATACACCAATGCAAGATCCAGCAGCAGCACTAAACCTTCTCACTGATACAGAGAAACAGGCCTTCTTTCTTATGACTGATATAAAAATGGTTCTGGTCAAGTTTATAATTCCTGGTGGGGTTGAAACATTAACAGATAGTCTCAAGAGAAGCTTCTTCTTCACTGTGTCAGATTGGGATGTGTTAGCATCTTGCTTCTGCAATGGCCAGGCATCAAAGTGTGATCCAGATGTAAGTACACTGTTGAAAATTCAAGTGTTTTCTCTTCTAGTTTAATGTACACTTCTGTAGCTATATTCTGCAGAAACATGGTTACCCTCCAGTTTAGTCAAAATCAAAGTGATCAATATGTTACCATCATCCACGCACCTGTTACCAGTCAAACAGATTAGTGTATAATTTGTACTGTATATTATGATATTGAAAATTCTATTGAACTTTAATTTGTGTGTCATAATTATGAAAAGAAATGTGTGTATGTCTGATTTTACTATGATATCATTGATATCATATTACATGTAAATTCTTAGGACTTCTCCAAGTGCATATGTGAAAGGAATACTGATGGTCCAAACTGTGAAAAGTGTTTACCACTCTACAATAACAAACCTTACCAGATACGAGAAGCATGTGAAGGTGAGATCACAAGATCTGCAAGACTGTTCAAAGTTGTTTTTTGTCTTTGCTTTTGGTTTTTTGTCGCTGTTTATTTACATTGATGGAACTTTGATAATAATTTCCTTCAAATTCTTAAATATTTTGTTAATGTATTTGAAAAAAATTTTGTGTTGATCTAGATGATGTGAAAATACTGAAAAATGATGACAAGCCATCAATTTTTCAATCTTGGTGGAAAAATTCTTTATCTAGATTCATTCTCAAATTCTTTCAACTCCTGTTTTATTAGGATTAATTAGGGGTAAGGCATAATATAAAGTGCATTAATCAACCTAGATTTAAAATCTTTAGCCCTACAATTTAAATTTCATTACAAGATATATATATGCACTCCATGACAAAAATCTTTTCTTTGATTTAATTTTTTTAGGCGTGTTACTAATTAAATTTAACCCATGCTCTTGTTTTCAGCATGTGAATGCAATAGTCATGCTGACAGCTGCTCCTACAATGAAACAAAAGGATATGGAGTTTGTAATGATTGTAAGCACAACACAACAGGGGATATGTGTCAACTTTGTAAGGAGACCTTTTACAGAAACTCAGCTGTATCACAGAATACCACCAATACTTGTCTGGGTAAATATCTTCTTTTTTGATGATAGTCACTCTGTGTCTGTACACTATAAATGCACATGTCTGTTGTTAGGCTTGTAAAATAATAATTATACTATTGTGCAATTATACTATCATTAGGTTCAGAGTACTTTAAGCAGCAGTGATCTTTTTAGGTGGTGACTGGTAAAAATTCACTGCCTTTAGTTCCTCTTATAACAGCTTAAACTAGCCTGGAGTTCTTGAAAATAATATTCAACAAGTTAATTGTGCTAGCAATTGGAAATTATATTTTACATTTCATTCTTGAAATAAGGAAGAACATTGGATCTGTAGAGAAAATTAATTTTAAAGGTTTTTTTAATTGATTTAATTTAGTAACTGAGGAACTTATAAATTAAAATATAGAGCCATATTAAAAGTACATTATAACTTCTGATCATTGCTATCATATTTTTCAGTGACCTCAAGAATTGTGATAGTACACTTATTACTGAAGGTTATTTTATCTATAGGATAATTTTTAACTAATTTTGTATATCTTGATGTTTTAAAGCCTGTGCATGTCATGTTCCTGGTGTAAACACTTCAGCTGACAGCTCACGGTGTGATAGTGTTACTGGTCAGTGTGCATGTAAGAGTCGAGTGATGGGAAGGGCCTGTGATATGTGTCGCGGTACTTACTGGAAACTAACTGCAGACAACGAGGCAGGCTGTGAAGGTATTCAATTAAAGAGTATTAGAAAAAAAGTTTCTGAACAACAAATGTTAAGGGAAATACTACTTATTTAACCCTCTTACTCCCAAATGCCATTGGTTATTCTTCTTTAAGTTATTGTCTGTTATACAATTCATATGATGTTAGTTTGGAGAATTAGGTATAAAATCTATTGGTAATCCCTTAATTAATACTTTTATTTTCTCATCACTTGTCTGCTTAATATTGTATTGATAAAGTGAGGAGAAATTCTCTCTTGGTCACTCATGGGAATTAAAGGGTTAATTATTGCCAACTTGTAGTCAGCATTGAGTTTGTGACCTGTATCATTGAAGGAACAATACAAGCTGTTGAGTTAATAAGGTTATCTTACCTGTGTTTTAAAAGAGTTGAATCATGCTTCAAACATGCACTGAAACTTATATCAGAAGTTATTTATGTGTAGTACTGTAATATTTTGACTGGATGTTTCTACTTGACTTGATTTTAGAATGCCACTGCAATTTAACTGGAACAGTCAACAGTTCCAATGTGTGTGACAAGATAACTGGTCAGTGCCCCTGTAAGCAGCTACTCACAGGAAGGACATGTAACCAGTGCCAAGTGAGTCCACTATTTCATGTACAAATATTTTTTTTTATTGTAAGCCAACTGATGTCCACAAAACAGTTGTAAAAAAAAGGTTTGCCTGTTTTATGTATTATGGAGCTAATTTTGAATTGTGGTGAAGGCAGGGAGAGGGGGCACTTTTTTTTAAAGAAGGCATTCATATGAAAGGAGGTGCAAATTCAAGTACTTTCTGAACAGAAGTAGTTTGATAACTGAAAAATAATACATTTTTCACAAGGATGGTTACTTTGGATTGACATCTGAAAACCCTGGCTGTACTGCATGTAACTGTGACCTGGCTGGCTCAGTAAATACCTCATGTTCTTCATCTGGGAAATGTTACTGCCGTCCCAAGTTCTCTGGGGATAAATGTGACAAGATTGATGAAGGCTTCTTTGTCCCAAGTGTAGATTTTATGACGTTTCAGGCTGAGGATGCTACACCCATAACTGTAAGAAGTGTTAATCTCTATTCTCATGCTGCTATTTGTCAAAATCAATGAAGGTTGTCTATGTTTAGTGAACATTAGAAATTAATATTTGATTACTTGGAGCACTAATTTGTCCAAAGGTTTGGGAACAGTCTCTCTCAACTATTTATGTCTGTAAAGTGGATTAATATTGTTGCATAGTGTTCTTGTGATTTCGCCCTTCACCTTTGAGAAGTGATGAATGTTGTGTGAAATGAGCTGAGACCAAATTAGTCTTAATAAGTCTGAAGTAACTCTCTTCACTGTTTGGACAGCATGAAAAGTCTGGGCAAAAAAAGGAAATTTTTACTATTAAAGCAGTGTGTCTTATTTGATATTCTGATTACCATTTTTAACTGTACATTGCAAGAGCAGAAGGAGGAGGAAGTTCTCTTTTTGGAGCCATGTGGGCCTCCCCCAGAAAGATTATGTGCTTAGTCATGATGGAGCAGGTGGATTTAACCCTTTAACTCCCAGATCAAATTGGTTATAACAAATCAATTTGTAATAATTCTCCTTACTGTTGACCATACAATTCTTTGAATGTTAGTTCAGAGAATTTAGTATTGGATCAACTTATTATCTCCAAATTGATATTTTCCTTTATTCTTGTCACTTGTCTGGTTGATATTGTATGGATATTGTAAGGAGAAATTCTGTCCTGGTCACTCATGGGAGTTAAAGGGTTAAGGCCATGAATGACTGTTCTGTCTCCTTGTTTATTCTGCCACAGTAAAGATGACTCTAGACTTGATGGATGGAAAAGCACCAACTGTGTGAAGTTGTTGCTGAGTAAAGGTCCCTGCTCTCAGCTCCAACAACAACCTTGATGTTATTTATGATTTAAGGTTTTTCTTGGTGCACAGTATGTACTAAGAACTGGTAATCCTTGTTCAGAGAAACTTTATGGTAGACTCAGTTCATGTTTGGATTTTTTAATGTTGATTTTAAAAGATTCTTATATGGAAAGGGGTGTTAAATTATTTGACTTGAAAACAGAATAGCATTTTTTTAATTAAATTTAATTATGAATCCTACTGTCACTAATTTCAAAATATTTTTTTTTTTACACAGCCACAAACAAAAACAATCAGTCATCAAGAAATTGTTAATGCAGCTGGAAACATTGTTCTTATGGTTGGTGTGGTATTGAATGAGGGAGTGAATAATGCTGCACCAACTGAGCTGGAGTTCACTGTCAACATTCCCAAAACAGGATTCTTTAATTTTGTCCTGCGTTACATGGTGAGATGTTCCTCCCTTGGGCAAGATATCATTATGAATGATTATTGTTTAGTAATTGGAAATAGTCTTAGCTTTCTGCTCATTTATTAAAACTCATTAGTATGGAAGGGGTGTTTGTTTCATCTAGTGGATCTGAGAGGCTCAAATTAAAAGTTTTTGACAAATTTTTAATAGTATGCTGAAATTATCATGATTATTATTAGCATTTTCTATTTTGCAGACTGGTTATAACTGGAATTTGGTTAAGATAACTGCTTTGCTGCGGACAGCCTTTGTGCCCTTCACGTGCAACAACATCAATCAAATCACTAAGAATGAGCCTCTTATCCTGACTGGGACAGTGTTGTCTGAAAGTGAAGCGCATGATTATGGAAGTCACTGTTTATTAGCGGGTCAGTACAGTGTAAAACTTCAAATACCTGCTGGAAGTGCTCAACAAGGTGTTCTGGTCACTCGAAGGAAAAGAAGGGCATTGCCTGATGCAGACATCACTGTTGATTCTGTAAGTAATTATTCACTCTCTATAGCCTGTTGCTATGATTGTTACAAGAGAAATATTCACTATTAGCTTTGTTGGAAGCTGAAGTGGGCTCAGAACATCACTGTTTTCTTGGTATTTGAGTTTCATACTACAATGTACAGCATATGTAAATCAAAGAAAGCTACCTTGCTGTACATGTAAGTGCTGTGGGCTATCTGAAAAGCAACTTAGTTTCGCAAAATTGTGACAACTTTTACCTAGTCTCACTGGAACCCAGAGTTATTTTCTGTGGAGAGACATCATGACCTAGTTATTGGTGCTCTGGAAGCTTAATTGACACTGGATTGACACATTCAGGTGGGAACCTTGGTCAGGATAACTGTGTGGTTTTCTTAGCCAGGGTAAATTAACTCAAGGAGGATAAATAGCCAGAATGAAGTACATTTATGTAGCATCCCATCAAAGAGGTTTTACAATAGGACAGTGTAGAGCAGCTACAAAACAAACAAAACAGTTCACATTTGCAAAGAGTTCAAGTCCTAAGGAATTGACTTAGACAACAACATGGCCTCCATGGTGTCATGTGGAAACAATCTCTATCAGTAGGCAACCACAAGAACTTGTAGATAATTGTTGAAACATAAAATTGATGTCAGTAATAATTATTTTAATTTGTAACACAGCTTTTAGCCATGCCGACTGTGTCTGAGTATGATGTATTCAAGGAAGCATCTGCTGAAGTTCAAGAAAACATGACATTTTACTACAATGCATCATCATCCCTGAAAACCTGGTCAGCAAACTCTGAGGCAGGAAGTCGTGCACTTGCACCAGTGTTTGGAAGCACTTTTGGAGAGGGACAAGGTAACATTGATACTAACAAAGTTAAGAAAAATTGTAAAAATTAACATTAAGAACTGCTGTAAGAAACAAGGCGGTGATCGAAATAAAGGGAATATTGACTTTACTAAACTCTAGAGAATAATTTACATGTAATACCAATGGACAAAGGGATAGATTGCATATCAAAGAAATTTTGGCTTATACTACTCCAGCTACACGCTTATTCAGCATATCACTGAGTATGTTTTTAACCCAGAAATCTCTCTTAGTATGCTTTACCCACCTTAATGCAAAATTTACTTAAAAATAAAAATTTAGACCATTCATGTGCAATCAATATTTATACTTAAACTTGTTATATTTTTATTCAGCATGTAACTGTAGCTCTGTGGGGTCAAACGACCCTGATGAATGTGACAGATATAGTGGACAATGTTCCTGCAAGCCTAATGTGATTGGTCGCACTTGTGATCAGTGTAGGCCAGACTATTTTAACTTCACCTCTGGTCAAGGTTGTCAAGGTAAAGAGGTTAAATATTGTGCATGTGTTTAGAATATACCCTAGATCAACACATACCTGCACCCTAAGAAAACTTTGAGCTGTCATAGTTAACTGATTGTTACTTACAACAAAACATTTCTCAATAAAGAATATTTTTAACACCTTCATTATTAATGATATTCACTAACACTCAATCTTTACCTCTGTCTATTATTGAGTATGTAGTATGAAATTTTGATATTTGACCCACAAATGTTAGCAACTTGTTGCACTGTCAGAGTTTTCTTGGATAGAAATGCCTGCGTAATTGAAACAGACTATGAGGGTAAGAGGTTCAAAAACCACATACTTTACTCCCACCTTTATGTCAATTTTGAATGAATGATGTTGTCTATGTCTTTCCATTTTTGAAAATAACAAATTATATGAGCATGGATTTTTAATTAAAAAATAATTCAAATAGTACGCGCGCTCTGATTGGCCATAAAACCATTTTACATGAGCGCATGTAAACACGGTTTTTGTTCCTCTTTCATTAGTTATTTTATAAAAGAAATGTGAAATGGTTTCTGTGTTTACATAGCCTGATGTAAACACTTGGGAGGTTGGGAGAACACTCGATAAGCTGGAAACCACTCCGCTTCACGTCGTGGTTTCCTACACTTATCTTGTGTTCTCCCAACCTCCCGCGTGTTTACATCAGGCTATGTAAACACGGAAACCATTTTACATTTCTTCAATATTACAAGAATATTACTGTCAAACCTGATAGCTTATTGTTGTATCATTATTTGTACAATATCTGTACACTGTAGCACTGTGGAAGTGCAATCAGTGTTTTTGCTCATCAGCTCTTCTTCTTTGGTTTATTTCACAGATTGCAACTGTAGCATGACTGGTGCAAATGAAACATCTTGCCATCCTGAAACAGGGCAATGTTCCTGCAGGGAGAATGTAATAGGCCAACATTGTGAGCAATGTGAAATAAACTATTATAACTTTAATAGTGGGGCAGGCTGCTCTTCCTGTGACTGCAATCCTACTTACTCCACCAGCCTGCAGTGTGATGGGAACACTGGTGTGTGCAGCTGTAAGCCTGGTATTAATGGAGCAAAATGTACAGGATGTGCTGATCAGTTTTACAATCTTACAGACCAAGGTAACGTTTATAATACATAAAGGTGGTGGTTTCTATACTCTTTCCCTCTCTCTTTTAAGTGGGGCATGGAATATAGGAAGTAAAACTTCTGTCTATTTTAAAGCGGTTATAGATGAGACAATATTGTCAGTGATATAATTTTTCTTGGTTTAAGATGTCATTGTGGGTTACCAACTTTTCTAGTATTCTTTATAATGGTTTTGGATTAAATGTCCTTGTTTCTTGTAGGTTCAAAACTTCCTTCTGATCGTAAGTTGTTTATTGAGGGATGTGATGCTGTCAACAACTTAATTCGTGATTCCAAGAAGAATTATTTCGCATCATTAATCAATGAGAATCAGTCAAATTATAAACAGCTTTTTAAGATAATTGATAAACTACTACAAAGGAAAACAGATATTCAATATCCCCCCTGCAAATCGCCCACTGATCTTGCTAACAAGTTTATTAAGTACTTCACTACAAAGATAGATAGAATACGGGGTCATATAACGACTGCTGCTTTCCCTCATCGAGATACAGTTGCTGTTGTTGACAACGCCTGTCCATATTCTTTTGATATTTTCAAAATGGTAACAGCGGATGAAGTTCATACATGTATCATGAATCTGGCTGCTAAGTCATGTGCTCTTGATCCTCTTCCTGGTTATGTTACAAGAAATGCACTTAGTGTTCTGTTGCCTTTCATTTCCAAAATCATAAATATCTCATTGGAATCTGGTCAGATGCCTTCGCAACTCAAGGTTGCAATGTTACGCCCGCTCCTTAAGAAATCTTCTTTGGATCATACTCAATTCTGCAATTATCGTCCGGTATCGAATCTTTCATTTATTAGCAAAGCAATTGAAAAATTGGTAGCTAATCAACTTATCTCCTACATTAACGATTATGAGTTAAATGAGACATTCCAGTCGGCGTACAAGAAATATCACAGTGCTGAAACTGCACTTATTCGTGTTCACAATGATATTCTTTCTGCCATTGATAATCGTCGAATCGTAATTTTGCTGTTGTTAGACCTTTCCGCTGCCTTCGATACAGTCGATCATACCATCCTCCTCTCTCGTTTACGTGTACGGTTTGGGATAGCTGGGAAGCCTCTATTATGGTTGCAATCTTATTTATCGAATCGCACGCAATATGTCTCCGTTGATGGTGGTACTTCGACGAAACATGACCTTAATTGTGGAGTGCCACAAGGATCTGTCTTGGGACCCATTTTGTATTTGCTTTATACTTCACCGCTTTCAGATATCGTAAAGAAATTTAACCTGAGCTATCATTTTTATGCTGACGACTCACAGCTTTACTTGTCTTTCCAACCAACCGTACTGGGTGATAGGGATCTAGCGGTTTCTAGCATCGAGAGCTGTGTGGATGAAATCAGTCATTGGATGATGGTTAATCGTCTTAAATTAAATAAAGACAAAACTGAATTATTGGTAATTTCCGCTAAACATCTTCCAAGACCACTCCTTCACGAAATTTCAGTTGCTGGTGAGACTATTCCTTCCGTGCAAAAGGCGAGGAATATCGGCACTATGTTCGACAGCCATTTTTGCTTTAAGGATCATATTACTGACATTTGTAAATCTTCATTTTATCATTTGCGAAATATTAGCTATATCAGGAAATATCTTTCAGCGACCACTACTGAATTGCTGGTTCATATGTTTGTATCTTCGAAGCTGGATTACTGTAATTCCCTTTTGTATGGCCTACCAGCCTACGCTATAAAAAGGCTTCAACACGTCCAGAATGCCGCGGCGCGCCTCGTCACACTTACAAAAAAACATGATCACATTACGCCTGTTCTTTTCAATCTTCATTGGCTTCCCGTTAACCAACGTATTATTTTTAAGATTTTACTTATAACCTACAAGGCACTTAACAACCTGGCACCGTCGTACATTTGTGATCTGCTTACATCTTACACCCCATCGCGTCAACTACGCTCATCATTCAAGCACCTTCTGGTTTCTCCATCCTATAACTTGAAAACATATGGCGCAAGATCCTTTTCTGTAGCAGCACCATCATTATGGAATGCTTTGCCAAGTGAAATTAGAAATGCTCAGTCTGTGTCTGTTTTTAAACGTAGATTAAAAACTTTACTCTTTAGAAAAGCCTTTTATAATTAATATTAGCTGTCTTAAGTGTTAATGTTTAAGTTTTTTTCTTGTAGGCGCCTTTGAACAGTAGGATACTGGCGCGGTATAAATCTTTTATTATTATTATTATTAGGTTGTATGTCCTGTGACTGTAACCTTGCGGGAAGTGCCAGCCCTGTCTGTAACAAGACTACAGGCCAGTGCCCTTGTAAGGCTCAATCTCTAGGCCGTCAGTGTGACATGTGCCCAGCTGGTTATTATGGCTTAAGTGTCCAGAATCCTCAAGGTTGTTTGAAGTGTCAGTGTTCAAATAAATCATCAGAATGTGTTACTGACCCAGGATGGTTTGTTTCAACTCTGAACACCACTCTGTCAGTGTTTAGTGACAATGTTGATCTGGATGGTTGGAGTACTATAGACAGTGCAGGAAAACAAGTCAATCCAGTTTTGGACTGGGATGTTACTGTAAACATTGAGAAGTAAGTGTTTACATTATGTTGTGTATTTTCATACATGTAGTGTGGTATACAAGTCATGTGATCCTCTGCTATTAACTTTGGTAGTGTGTGCACCAGTAAATTGTACTTTGAAATTATGGTGTAGTTGTCCTCTGAAGAGGAAGAGGAAGGAGAAGGGAAATTAAATTCAGGTGTTATCATTCTCTTTTCACCTTATGGGCTTAAATTCAAGTAAATTTTTTCTTTTCCTTCCCTTTGTATGACATTCACCTAGGCTATGTCACTTGATACAGTAAAATCTAAGTCATCAAGAAACTGGTCAAATTGAGAACCCCTTTATAAAATGTTAAGCTGATAATAACTTAAGGTAATTACTTTAGTGTGACATGTTCATATCTGGAAAACCAGGATAGTTTGCAGTTCTACATAAATGTTAGAGAGCGTGCTCAATTTATATACTGTGTTGGTGTAGCACTGTTTGTTTGATTGTTTGTAGACCTTTACACTGACTAGATGAAAAGACCTTGACAAACTGGTTTATACTAAGCCTTACAATTGTCCTCTTTGTTTTCTTCAGGGGATCTATGAAAGTTGACACTCAAGGCTCAGATGATATCTACTTTGTTGCTCCTGACAAGTACCTTGGGGACAAGAGATCTGCTTATACATATGCGTTGTCATTCCATTTACAACAGGACAATGCATCCAGCCCTGCAACATCCTCTAAGGGTGATGTTATCCTTGAAGGCAAGTGGTTTGATGAACCTCTTGTCTCAAGTCTTGATGCTGCTCCACCAGGTGGAGAAAATTTTAGGAAATATGAGGTAAGTTTTCAACAATTATGTTTAACTATAATAACTCACAGTAACAATGGTAATGAAAAGGATGATGATGATGGTGACAGAACAATTGTTGGTGTCATCATTATCATCAGCATCACAATTGTCCATATAATTGTCATTATTGTGGAATCGTTATTTTTGGATCAGAGTTTACTAGTGGAGATATTTTATGACCCAGGGGAATTTGGACCAAGAGATCTGGGGTTCTCTTTTCCAGGGGTTAATGACAACCATCAAACTGTCATTTTGTGTATTTAGCAACTGTTCTTTGAGATATTTTACAGTACTCCGCTGTTACATTTGATAAGATAGTAGCGAGGGAGACTAACTATCAGGGAAACGAGGAGAAAGGCTGTTTAAAACATAACCTTTGCACAACTTTTTGGGGGTAAACTCTTAATTGTTCTGTTTTACTCTCTTCCTGCTCCTGACCACCTGCCACCTGAAAAAAAGTTTGGACATACTTTCGCCCCCGTTTGCCGCTTTTCATTGTGCTTATGTGTGGTGAGGCCATTTCTTTGGTTATTGAAATGGAAATTGTTATCACTGGATCAACTCAAAATGGATAATCGGCTACTTTGATGTTACCAACATTTAAGTATAATTGGAACTTCGGTGACACCAATAAAAAGCGAGTAACAAGTCAAGTTGGGTTTTGATCCTGGGTGTGAGAATATGGATGTTAATAACTTGACGTTTGTTATTTTTATCAGGTAAAGCTTGTTGAAAGCAATTGGAGAGTTGGAAACACCTCTGGGCGGCAACCTTCAAGTTATGAAATGATTGTTGTATTAAGTCATTTGACTTCGCTGCGTATCAGGGCCAAGTGGACAACTCTCACAACGAAACTGTTCACCCGATTGGCTGATATTGAACTGACTCTTAGTAGCAGGTGTGTAGCATATTACTTGCCCTAGAGTTGAAATGCTATAATAGTTTTTAGGCGCAAGTAAATGATTGCTGTTCAACTGATCTTTTTGTGCGTGGTTTAGAGAAGCAATAATGTCTAAATAATCTGGCATAAATATTCTGTCTTAATAGTGCGTAAAAGTTTTTTCTTTTAGCCTGGGTCTTAGGTGTACTGCTTTGCAGCATCGATTCGCATCCTAGTCTTTTTCAAAACCGTATCGTGGTCTTGTCGCACAACAAGTGCGTTTTACGTGACAACGTCAAGCAACGGCTGTGATGTGGATTGGTACATCGGGGGCTTTAAATAATTTACCTTGATAAAACTGCTTCTAATGTAGATTGCTTTTTTTTTTAGGAGCAATATAATTCCTGGGGCGGAAAGTGCTTTGAACATCGAGAATTGTTCATGCCCCGTGGAGTACAAAGGACAGTTTTGTGAACAGTGCGCGAGTGGCTACACACGTGTCACGCCAAATGGAGGCCCTTACGTGACATGTGTACCGTGCGAGTGTAACGGACACTCAGACATGTGCGACCCTGAGACTGGAGTGTGTCTGGACTGTCAACACAACACCACAGGTATTAACCATGAAAATAAAAGAAGCGAAAAATTTCTTCGAAGGAAGAAATGAGGTGATTAAGATAGAAGGAGTACGCAAATATTGTCGAGACGAGGGAGAAAAAAGTCCTTACACTTGGTTGTTTGTCGGAGGAATAAAAACTTTGAGATACACAATGTAAGACTCTCGAGATCGGATTCTAATGCCCTGGTACAACTTATGCACGACCACTTTTTATGAAGTTATATGCTTATCTCGATTTAAAATGACCAAATTTTGCAAAGTTAGTTACTTCTTTTAATTTGTGTCCTGTGTGATTTTTTTGTTATTGTTTATTAGGCGATCATTGTGAAAAATGTCTAGATGGTTGGTATGGCAACGCCACTAATGCCACGCCCAACGACTGCAGCCCGTGCCCATGCCCCAGCGGACCATTTGCCGTCAATCAGTTCGCTAAGACCTGCGTGCTTTCAAGTGACGGTCTACCAACCTGTGTGAACTGCACCGTGGGTCACGAGGGACGGTATTGTGAACGATGCATGGACGGTTACTTTGGACGGCCAAAGGTAAGTGTGAGGCTCAGTGAGGTGTGGAACCCCGATAAACGACATTCCTACGTTGTAAAACCAAAGACCAAATTAATCAAAATGACTCATCAGAATATAGGAAAACCGCGCTTGAAGCTTACGTGAATTTGAAGGAATCGCATTTAAACTGTTTGAAGCGCGTAGAAACATGAGTGACTAGCTTTGTAGCGGTTTGGTTTAAAGTTACAGATCGAACGTGATTAAGCCAAGTCAATGCATAATAGTTCGGACATTCAATTAAAAAAAAATCACCTGTAACGGTTCATTATGTTGATAATTTTGATGCTAAAATGTACGAAATGGATTCTCCTTTGACCCTATGACCAATCAAAGCGAATATCCATCAAGCCATGTCAGTCCTCATCTATTTTTCATATTGATTTCACCACGTTTTGGTTGGTTTAAACGTGAAACTCAGCTTCATTTTAAACGTATGCCGTGTTCAAGCTGCCCTTTTCGTTATTCATACTTTGCATCATCTGTTTACCTTTCACTGTCTTTTCGGGAGAAATTAAACTGCCTTACTTTTACTCTTTCTATTCATTTATATTTTATTTACTCACTCATTCATTTTAACAGGAACAGGATGGGCAATGTCGCAAGTGTAACTGTAACAACAACACAGATCCTGCAGCCACCGGTAACTGTAACACCACAACAGGCGAATGCCTCAAGTGTCTTTACAATACCACTGGGTCCAACTGTCAGTGGTGTGCACCAGAATACCATGGAAATGCATTGAACAAAAACTGTACACGTAAGTATGTCTTTTCTGTAGAGACGCTCTCCACATGTTGGCAAGGCGAGTTCTAACAAATAGTTAAGGGATAATTCAAGAGAAATTATTTAATTGAGATTTGCAACGTTAAACGGTGGAATTGGGTGAAAAAAAAACCTGTACTCTAAGTATCCTTTCCTTACCTATCGCCTGAGGAAGGATGGGGGATTTTGGGTGTGTGACGATGAAATTGACCTGATCCCCCCACGAGGCTCTGTAGTTATTGTATGGTCCCCCCTATGGCAGTTAATTGGCGGTCAATTTTCTATAGTCACCCCCTTTAACTCTGTTGGCGACGACAGATCCTCCTCCGTTCCCCCCTGAAAACCATGTGATCCCCGAAAATCTTCCACCCCCCCCCATCATAAGGGGTGGCGGGGAGGGGGGATGAATAATGAATGGTCCCTTAGAAAGCCCCTCCCCGGCCCAGGACCCTGGCATATGAAAGGTATTTGGCTTGTCATAGGAAAACAATACGCTTGACTTAAACTAACCGAGTATTTTAATGTAGTGTAGCGGATGTAGAGGATCCAGGTTGAAAGGCGAAACAGAGCATGCGCAGATGCGAACTGCTCGAGAGGAAGCGACAGCCATTAAGAATGGAAAGCAAACACCACTTCACCAGCTTTTAGCACAGAAAAAAAAAACACTCCTGGGCGAGTCTTTTTTGGGATTTGACACTCCTCTGATTGAAGAAGAAGGTCGTGCGGGACTTTTGAAACCAACCCAACCCTAACTCAGTAAACAAGGCAATGGGTCATTTTTGTGAACTCTCTAAAATCTCTCTTTTGATCCAACTTTCAGCCTGCAATTGTTCGAATGTTGGTGCAGTGGATAACAAATGTAACAATATGACTGGTTCGTGTTACTGTCATCCTTATGTGACCGGCAAGTTGTGTGACAGATGTGAACAAAACGCTTTTAATTATACCTCGTCTGGCTGTTCGCCTTGTAACTGTGACATTGATGGCTCAAATGAAACTCAGTGTGACTTGGTAAGCTACGGGTAATTTCTCTTTTAAAATTAAATCATCATTAGTGACCTTTTCAAGATCCACTGTGCCTCTTGCCGCTTAGAAAAGTTCTACGTTACCGTACTAAGTTTGTGTTGGTTTGTAATCTTCTTTATCCTTCGGTCTTCGTTTTTTGTAAGCTTTGACCCCTACCTTTCATGTTAATCATTTGGGAAATTATTTTACATTTGTATCTTTACCCTTTCCCCATCTAGGAAAACTGTTTTTTCTTTCGGTCTTACTTAATTATAGCGTGCGAAGCTAAGTATTTTTTGTGTGTGTCTTGGATCGTTGACGAGAGGCCCGGGACGGAAAAATGGGAATGATTTCTCCACTAATACCTCCGCTGACCGTTTTTACGGCCGCGCTGCCTTTACTCTCCTTGAACCCTTAAAACTGCCAGATTCAAAGGCTGTAATATACATTTAATGTTCGTCAGTCGCAAGCACTGTGAAGTACTTCCTTTCTTTGTAAGTTTTTTAACCTCAGTGATGGGTTTCGTGTTGCTGAATCAAATGATAAAACTTCCTAGCTCAACTGCTCATTAAAGCGAGTGAGTTTACAGTTTCTCAAAGGTCATTATTCGAAGGTGCCCGAAGAACTAGTTGGAGTCGAGGTTTCCATTTGAGGGGAAATTTGTTTACTAGTTGTTAATGCGTTTCTACTTTGAATTATTTCCCATTTAGACGTACGGAAACTGCACCTGTAAACCAAACGTGATTGGTAAAAAGTGTGACATGTGCGATGCAAGCTTCTTTGATGTAAAGCAGAGTTGTCTAGGTACGAGTAAAACATCGATTGACAATTTTTAAAAATGAATATAGTGTCAGCTTGGTAAACTACAGTTTAGACTGTTTTGTCGCCGTTCTGTATCAGTTTCCTTCATTTTTGGCTCGCATGTTATCTTTTTCAGCGTGTAACTGTACAGCAAACCAAACTCTTGCCAATACTACTTGTGATCCGGTCAGCGGTCAGTGTAAGTGTGATGTTAGTGAAGCAGGAGGTCGTTATGGGGGCAGACAGTGCGATACATGCGCGAGGAGAACTGTGGGTAAGTGCGTTACCAAGAATGATACAGTAAACTGAGAACGAACGATTCATATTTTAAGATTTTGACGACTTGATGTAGGTTTTGTTCCTCAACTGAATAATTTATGCGACAACAATCTTTAGACCTTCCGGTTGGAGTTTTTGTGGTCTGTTCGATCTAATTCCGGAAGACTCAGTCCGATTTCAGGCGATTCCGTTTGGCCGTGGACTGTCACGTCTGCTATCGGACGGTTCTGTAGGCCTCGGACATTTCCGTACGATATCGGTCGGTTCCCCATGATTTCGAACATCGTAGTCCGATCACGGACGGTTCCGTTAGTTATCGGACCTCATCTACGATCCAAGTCTTTTTGGATCATTACTTTTTTGAAGTACTCCCAAAACATCAGCAGGTCTAATTGACTTAGAAATTGAGGTTGTATATAAGACAAAGTTTGAGGGAATTTTATTTTGCGTATTCGAATTACGTCGGACCTCATTTTCCAGAAGTAACTGTTCATTTGTTCCCCTTACTGTCTGTTATTCATTTGTTCATGATCCTGCACGTCTAGAGTTTTTGACTTAACACTTGTCTCCTGTCTGCTCTATACTGTTTTGATATTGTTATGAGAAATTACTTAATATTAGTTACTTTAGGGAGGGAAAGGGTAATGATATCTGTCTGCTGTATAATTGGGGCTTAGGGCTGAAAACGTTGGTTTGGTTTCTCTTTTCCAGGGAGCCCTCCCAAGTGTTATCCGTGCACCGAAGACTGCTACTTGAACTGGGAAAACACTATATCCAGAGAAACTGACAGAGTCAACGAGCTTTACAGTAACGTTACTGAACTGCTTGAGTCGTTTGGGAGCATGTCGGTGGATAGCATCAACAGCACACTTCAGAAGTTGAAAAAGAACGTGACCTATGCGGAAGAGATATTCAGCAGCGGTGGAAAAGAGGATCTGCAAAAGAAGCAGCAGCAAATTAACAGGGTAAGGAAGGGGAAAGTGGCTTCATGTTTTGTAACTTTTACTGAGGATTGTTTTAGATTCCAAGTCTTGTTTGTCGCTTTCGAATCAGTTGCAAATCTGTTTTTCAAAATAGTACGATTTTAGAGGTGTTTGTGGTCAAGACCATTTGACGGCAATTAAATGATGAAAGAGTCTCGCTTCTTTTTTCTATACCTGTAGATCAGCTTTGCCATAATTTCTTTCAATTTTATCTGTTAAAGAAGACTGGCGACTCAAATATAACGCGAAGAGTGTGCGATAAGTCTATCAGCTTAATTTCCAAGGGATTCCTTGAGGACGTATTACTTTTAAACTGGCAACTTTCACTCAGAAGCTGCAGCACATTTGAAGAACATTTTTCGTCTTTTTTGCAGATTCAAAACTCTATAAGCTCTCTCCAGCGTCAGCTGAACGAATCTAAGAGTTTGATTGAAGACGCTCAGACCTACATCTCAAAGGTGATTAACTTTAACGGAAGTGTCCCAATAATTCCCGCCGATCCAATGATGTACTCCTCATCCCCTGAAGTCTGCCTCAGTGGGGGAGGTGCGATTGTGATCGTGGACTGGAAGTGTATTGAAGCCATGGCAACGATCTACCGCGTGCGTGCGATGGAAGCTAATGAATCAGGACATGCAAACTACTCGAGTATTCAAAGCAGTTACAGTATGGTAAGTTACATGTGAATCAAGACAAGATGTGCATTCTTGCGATTTAGTAATCTCGCTTTGGTCACTACCCAGGGTCGCGGAGTTGTTTGTTTGGAAAAGCCGGTTCCTCACCCCTCCCTAATATTTGAATGGTGCTTCTGAATTTTGAATTGACCCTGACTAATTGTTTGAAGTGAATTAGGGGTTGAGTTAACTTACGGTAGTCCAGCATTCCATCCAGGGAGGGTTAGCGGTGTTCGTATTCACTCCTTGTTAAGGAAATCAGAATGTTTTCTCGCTCTGCGTGCCGGTTGGACCCTGTGAAAAGTTTACCCTTCCGATGCACCTTTGAACTTTCTCAAGAGAACGTACTCCTATTTCGAAGACGAACATTATGTAGAAATTGGAGTCAAAATAAAAATCGTTTAATTTTGGAGTGGCACTCTTAGAGGTAATTGGAACGTGACTCTTACTCTGTGATTCATATGTTTTGAACGATTTGATACCCGATCAGTGGCTCAATGCAATTTGTTTTCCTCTTGACATGCAGATTCAGCAGGCGAACTCTACAGCTTACCATGCAGCTATGCAGATCAATGATTCTCTAGAAAAACTAAAGCTCGTTACATTTGTCAGAGAAAAAGTAGAATCGGACCTTGGTGATACCTTTCAGACCTTATACCGTAATAACTCCATGCGACTTGAAGAAATCAGCAAAATCAACGAGATTTTGCAGGCACTGGTGAAAGAAGCGGAAATTATTGGAGAACAAGCAAACGGCAATTTGACCATGGCTGTGGAAAACGCAAATCGATCAAAGGATCTAGCCGGTCAGCGGAAGCGAGAAGCTCAGAGCGCGCTGGACAATGCCACCAATGCACACTCAGATACTTTGCAGGCCAGTGGTGATGCAAACAACGCGTTAAAGACAGCCATGGGGTTTAAAGTGAGTAAGAGCTTTGAGAGTAGTTGTTCTTTTGGTGCGAGTTCTTTATGTGAATGATATCTTGTGCAGTGTAAATATTGGGCGTGGCTTTCACGGCGTTTCTCTCTCTACTTGTCATGGACTAGAGTATTCTGAAAAGCTTCACGTAGTCAGTTTTCTGGTTAGCGAGGGAAGCTTGGGTTGTTTTGACGAATGCGTTTAGAAGGGAGGTCCAGGAAGGCACAAAAATATTGTCGGAACAATACACACTAAGCATGTTTCTTGTCCTCATGATATCAACGCTGGCGTAATCTGGGAAAAATTTGATTAGAATAGAGGAACTCGTCAAAAGTTTCCCCGCCTCTTTTTTTTCCAATTTTAAAACTGCATTTTGACAGTGCGCTCTTCCATCAATCATGAGCTAAAAAGTTAACTTTGCTCACATCTAACGTTACAGGAAAACGCTACAATGGTACTCCAACAAACACAAGATGCCATCAATAACGTATCTGCAGGAATCAACACCATAGCCAGGGTTAATAACATGACAAAGGAAGCGACGAACATTGCAAATGAAGTCCGTGCCATGAACATGCCTGTGAGTCTGCAACAGATCCAAAACCTTACTGATGAGATTCTGAACACAAATGTTAGCCAAGCAATGGTGAACCAGACTCTAAAAGCTGCACAAAATGGCCTGGAACAGGCACGAGAAGTGGAAGCCCTCTCGCAGAGAGCCATGTAAGTTTAAGCCCAGGATTACATGTCCAAGTGCGAAGCGGCCTGGCTTCTTGACCATGTAGATACTCGGTCTCCTGAGCGCCTATTAAAATTCCTTGCGTGACATCCCGAAAAATGGCTTCAAACGAAACTAAATGGCAGTCAAATACTATATTTTGCCACAATTTTCAGATTCACTCGTCGATTGCACTGTTTTTTATCTTTTATTATTGTCGCTTATGTGTGTTCCTTTTCCTTTCTTCCGCAAAGTAATGTTGCACAGGAGACTCTAAATCAAGTGCAAGGGATTGAAACAGCTATGAACTCATCAGAGCACATTCGACAGCAGGTCATGTCTCTGCAGCAAGAAACTGATGGAATGGTTGCTGACATCAATAATATCACACAAACGGTACGAAAAAAGAACTGCAATAGTGCGCGACGCTATTGTCATCTTCTGGGTAATTTTGGCGCGTAAATGCCGCTTTGTATGAGTTCGAAAACTGGGACGAGTAGACTTTTCCTTTCCAGCGGATATTTAACAAATGCTGAAACGTAAACGTCTCTTTGTGTCCTGAGTTTTCGCATCACGAATTGTCTTTTTTTGCGATGGGAAAATTGTCTTTTACGTGTGGTGGTGTTTCAAACTGTTATTTACAAACTGATCTCCTTATTTCCTGACTTTCATTTAACGAAATTTCCTGTTCATATCGATATGAATCTTCAGTTATGAATAAAAAGTGTTCCTGTTTTGTAATTGCTAAATATTGTCTAAAGAAACGGGCTAATTATTGCCTGAGGGAAGCAGAAGCGGAATTTTATTCCTTCATTTTCATTTTGTTATTTCTCGGCGAGTCAAGTATATAGAGTCCAGGTGGCGGTTGGCGCTTGTCACCATGCCGGCCGACAAAGAGGCCTTCTATTTCACCAGAGACTGATTAGCGTATGGCTTTTGTTCGTTTTTGCTTGGCCGAGGCTGCTGTTCACCGTACATTGCATAATAAAGCGCGCGGTTAGTGTCAATAAGGGGATGAATTCTGAGTTTAAAACGGTGGTGATTCTTTCCGTTCTTGTCAGGTTGAACATCGTTTCTCGGCGTCGTACTCCTCAGGAAAGAGTTTACTGACGAAGATAAACAAAACCCTGGACGATATAGAAGAAGGATTGAACTGCTTTGATACTGCGAAGACCGACGCACAGAATGCGTCGCATACAGCTGAAATGGCCTTTAATATCTCTAAGCAAGCGAAAGAGGTAAGTATCTTACGAGTTCTAAGTTTCTTATACTAGACTGTCACCATCTTTGGTCTGTAAGCAGTTCGTTAATCATTTTTGTCACTGATCCACTGACTAGGGCGATTCGAATCCATTCGGTCCAAATTACTGGATACGTGTACTCGCTCGATTGGAAATGTAAGGAAAGTGGCAAATTTGAATGCGAAGAGTAGCCCTTGAAATTGATGAATGCATGGATTGATTGATTTTAATAATGATTATGAACTATTCTAAATGTTTTCGTGAAGAATGACACAAGATGGAAGGGCTAGTAAGAGAAAACGCGGCGCCCAAGGTATAAGACGCGCGTTGGTCATGGGGCCATTTGTTAATATGGTGGCATTGACCGTTTGCTATCGTAAATAAAAGAAAAGAAGAAGCTACGTCTTGCGTAGCTGGCGGTTTAGCGTGCGCTTAAGCTACAAGGAGCGAAACCGCGATAGGCTTGGTATCGAAGGTATGTTCCATTCGCGGCTTGACGCATATCACTTGGCGCGTATATCGCGCACAAAACCGTCAGCTGCGCAGGGTGTTAAGAAGCTTTTTTGATCAGTCGAGTGGGTCCAGACATGAGTTGAAGATGAGCGCGTCGCTTCAAATCACCGAGCGTAGCATACTCAAACTTGGTCTTAAGAAGTTCTCTCGCAGTTTTGTACTGGTACACAATTGGGATCGAAGAAGGTCGCGTAGGGCTCATGCTAGAGCTTGAGCTTGAAAAGATAAACTAGAACGGTTATTGGCTATGTGTTAATCAGGACAGAAATTGAGATGCTACAAGCCTTTGAAGACTTTCAATTAAATTCTCGTGAACGGCCTCAAGAGGGAAAGAACGCGGGTAATTAGGGAAGCGATTCGTTTTCGTTTAGCATCTGGGTGGTTGAGAAATTGGCGCATGTTTCGTGAACCAGTCATCGAACGTAGAAAAGCATAACCGATTCAGTTTCAGATAACTTTTGGATTACTTGAGAATCGAAATTGAAAAGTGCCTGAAGCAGTTGTAGAGCAACCTGCATCAAGCACAGCCTTACTACCGGACTGCGCGGGGCTTTTTGACCCAGGTTCGGAGTGAGATGTCCAGTTGCAACGCGGGCTTTTCACACTATGCTCGGCAGTTATAGTTTATAGTTATAGCTTCCCTTTAAGGTTTCTATTTAGTCGTTGTCTGCACTGTTCATTATGATTTGAGTTTATTTGTCCACTCTTTGGTAGACCTTCGACAACAGCACGGCATCTTTGCCACCTGTCGCGTCCTTGGTGAACTCATCCTATGAAGCGGCAAGCGGTAACCTCTCAGAAGTACAACAAGCTCATCAGGATTCGGAACAACTACTTACGGACGTGACAGAGGCTGAAGGTATGTATATTAGAAGATACTTCCAGTTGTGTGGCGTATTTAATTGTTGCTACAACTTGGCTTTTCAGTGCGCATTGAACCGATGATAAAAAGTGAAATGTGGGAGATAAATAACCGTCTGAGTTCTGTGTGATGATTCGTCGTTTCCCCCTCCAGTTCTTATCTCGCGGTTGAATCTTTACCACCTGAGTATAAAAGAACTCGTCGGTGATCTGTGCCATGTATTTGGTTCTTATATGTCAAGCATTTTACATACTATTGGCATCACGGACGCTTGAAGTGTTCAGTGAGGAGATAGAGTTAGGGAGACTTTTCTTGTTGTTCGGTCGTCAAAAATGTTTTGGGTTGTGTGCGACTAGAACAGAACAATCCGTTTGATTCTTGAGGGTTTTTCAATATCCCACACAGTTATTTAAATTTTGGACACAGTCTTTTTTGCGTCTGTAGCACAATACATATATTATTCTTTCAGAATTGCTGACCCAGTACATCGCACAGAGAGACGAACTCGAAAGACTGGGTCGAGAACTCCAAGAACTTGATAGAGAGGCAGATGAATTACTAGGACAGTTTAGTGTGGCTGCTGAGCAGTATTCACAGTGTGCGGGCGCATAACGAACTCTAGTCTGGACAACAGACGTCAGTCTTAATTTTCGTTTATATTTGTATAACGATATTACTTACAAAGACAGTCAACAGGTTTTTCTAAGAGCAAGTATAGTGTTTCTTTCTTGCTGTACGGTTAGGTCGTGCCATTTTCAGCGGTTTTACTGCATTGTAAATGATATTTAGTGTAAGTAAAATCCGGCGGCGAAATTGAGAGCCACTTGAAAATCTGTCGTGGCTGGCAGATTCTGATATTTTAAAGGAGTTACGCCACGAAATTTTTTAGACACTTTTTATGGGAGGAGAGGGATCGTCATAAATGTTTGTCAAGGAAAAGAAACCAGTAGATTATGGTTCGAGGAAGCTTAACACCAACCAGATAAATTGAAACCAAAAATACGAAAAGAGGATGATTATGGATGCAGACGATTTTATGTAAATGGATGGATAACAGCCCTGATAAAATTGTTTTGAATTTTATCGCACGATAAGTCAACTGAAGGCATTACGGTAATTGATACAAGTTTTGAGCTCAACAAATGCTTGAAACATGGATATTTGGACATAGACATTTAAACTTTTAATTTGCATGTTAACAAGTCTTCTAGGACTCCAGCAAATGTTAGCTTATGATTAGTAATGATTTAAACTCTAAGTATTGCTAAATTGATATTTTTAATGGTTAAGAGTGTATAGAAGAAGTTGGAAATACTCTGGGATTTAAAATGATTATCTACTCGTAATTTTGCTGATCGGCCAGAAGCAAACTTCTTTTAAAGCTGTTTTATGGTAGGAACAACGACATGCGTGGGCTTCTTGTTATTCAAGACCTTAAAACTCCATTAAAGCAAAAATTACTCGTATGGAAATGCTTGAAGAGTGCCTCTTTAGGATGCCGAGTCTATGAAGAGTTTAACGTTGCAATTCTTTTCTCTATTTTTACTTGAGACAAACTTGCGCGTTTTTAGGTGCTCTTCTACGCGTGATCCAAAGAGGAAAAGTGTACTATTCACCGGAATTCACTCAGCAGCTCAAATGGAGAGATTTTGTTGTTGCCATAAGCTAGCATTATGTTGACGCCTTTTGTTTTTCCATGGACCATAATTAAAGATATACGTGTCTTTCAGAAAAACTTTAAAGCAACAGTTGCCTCAAACTATGAGCAACAGTCTCACTTAGAGCGCTGTAGCTAAAAGTGCAAAGATGTTTCGACCAGAAAAAGTGAACAGAAATTCTGTGTAACCCACGCAAAGTCGTTCCTATCGCTTTCCCAAACACTAACAACGACTCGTGAAGAGAGAGAAGTATCGAGCGTTTCATTTTTGATTTTGTAATTGATTAATTTTCAAAGGAATAAGTCTTTCCTTTAAATAAATGTCATTGGAACGTTTTCGGTCTAATCATTAGAGCTAGTTAGGTAGTATATGTATATCGGATAAGAGTGTGTTGTACAGTATTTATTTATAAGATGAATGATGGCATTTTTACATTCAATTGAAGTGAAAATAAAAGTTTTTTATTGATACCTATGGAAAACTATGAACGTGAAAGACTTCAAAGGGCTCAACCAGCGTCGCTCCTGCTATACCTCTGGGTTAGATAGAAAAGGAAGATGGGATGCCACTAAAGACAGAGAAAGCTGGGTCTGAGAAGTGTGGGGAATATTAATGTCACCTGCCCTTCTCGCTAACCTCGATATTGCCCAACTTGCCTGCTAAACGCTGACAATTCCGCTTATTTTGCAGGTTTCCCACTGAATAGTGCAGTTACAAAAAAGAAAGCTGGTTAATAAAACTTTGTTTGTTAGTTGCGTTGCGTAGGATTCGTTACTCATATGATAACTGGCAGCATTATTTTGAATGTTAATAGGTCTTACAGAACCTCAGATCACTGACAGAGCAGAGTTCTTAACAAAATTACATTAATCCACAAAGCTGAACGGTAACCCGAAGGAACGTGAGGAAAACCAGCAGTCTATTTGTTGACAAAAAATATAAATTTACAGCTTTACACCGACAATAAATTCACCAACGATACGCATAACTAAAACCTTGACAAAATATGAAGCATCATAATATTGTTATTACAATTATTTGCGAAGTTCATAAAACCAACTTTTGTCCACCATATGTAAAAAATATTTGTTAATTTTCATGTTGGATATGCAGTAATTATTCTTTGATCCCCCTTGTGGAAAATGACAGTCACCCAGAAGCACATTGCCCCATTACATCCAAGATTTCCAACTTGAGACGAAAATTGTTTCTGTAGAACCACCTTCTTAGAGCGGTGAGGCTTGAAGCGGTGAGGCTTCAAGACGTCAGGGTGTAAAAACGTATCTTTAACCAGATTCCAGACGACGCTTTCGTCGGTAGCAAGAAAAAGGCTTTTCCCCTGTATTCCTGGGTGCATGTGCGCGTCTTTGATTTTTTCTTTTACGCTATCGGTGAGAGTGACGCCATTCACCCATCTCCTTGAAGAAACTGACATGTTGCTCTCACAGTCCCGTCAAGTTTGAGCGTATTTCCTCTCAATTTTTGTAAACTTGTTCGTCTACCACTTCGAAATAACCGGACGTAATTTTTAACTCTCCGGAAAGCAATCTAGGAGCTGTCATACACGTTGTTCAGGGAAATTGTACATGGGTTTTTACAGTCCATCATAAAAAATGTTGTCTGGGAAAAAAAAACCCCAACGAGCAGAAACACGAGCCAATCAGAGGGGAGGAAGTAAGGAAAAAACGTATTCTAATTTGCCCTCGCGTGACGTCGTAACAATTTTCAAAACGAGGCGCCGCAGTGTTATATATTATAAAATGGCGGCTACTGAAACAAAAAATATGCGTTTTTGGCCAAAGAATTCAAGACTGTGCTGTCTCGCTATGCCGATTCGCTGGAAAATCGGACTAATAAGAGATACATAGCGAAGATATCTGTTATTGGCATCGATCCTTTGGTCATTCCGCAGCAGAAATACATTTCAGAATGTCTTCCTCCTGTTGAAGCTTGTGATCTCCTATCGTACCTTGTGCTCGAGACCAGTTTCTACACGAAGGATTTGTTTAAGAATTTCTGGAGTCTTCTGGCGTATAGTCATATGGTGTCCGGGTCTATCACAAGTGTTTTTGGACAAATTTTTTCGAGAAAAATACGTTCAAGATTGCTAAAGTGAGGTACTCTCAAAGGATGAATGACCCTCGTATGCAGCTATGGATCATCACAACAAAACAAGGTAGTGTTGTTTTAGGTCATTGTGTGGGATGTATGGCTGGGCTGGGAGAATGCCGTTCTCATATTGCGAGTGTTCTTTTTACCTCGAAATCTGGACGAGAATGAATGAAAAACTTGCATGCATACAGGTAAAATGTACATGGCTTTTGCAATGGTTAACCCTTAAACTCCCACAAGTGATTAGCATGTAACTTCTCCCTATAAGATCCATACATTAACCTGCACACAGGTAATGAGAATACTGAAGCTAATCAAGTGGAAGTTTCTATCTTGGTCCAACACTAAATTCTCTAATCTAATTTAGAAGGAGATGTGTTGCAGTGAGAGGAGAGAATTAACAGTCAGATTATGGGACTTAAAAGGTTAAGGATATTATTTTTCCTCTGCCAAGAAACTTGAAAGTTACCAGGACATGTCAATTTGTATGATAAATTCCTCAAGCATTACATCCAGTCCTGCAGCTCAACATCATGAACCTAGTCCTTCAGAAAGAAAGTGAAAAGTAGAGCCACCTTCTGCAGATGAAATGAAGGAATTTTACAAATCTTTGAGTAAGTGCAGCATTAAACCAGTCTGTCCTAGTTTAATCCACCTGTATTCTTATTTATTCATTTTTAGCACCGGGAATATTAAAGCAGTCCCCAATTTCTATTATAAAAAGTATCATGAGTTGTCTTACCCTGATCTTCTCAAGGAGTGCTACAAAGTTGATTTGAAATTATTGGATGAGCAATTGAAGGCAATTGAAAGGGACACTGCCAATCAAGCCCCTTTTTTCAACACAGAGCTTGGAGGAAAGGTGCTTCAAAATGCAGTGCAGCAAGACACACAGATCTATCAGGGCCATCACAATCTCTAATCAAAGCCATATGTTATCCAAGTATGTTTCACTTCACAATAGCAGCCACTGAACATGGTTATAAACATGAGGCACAAGCTATTGCAGCCTACAAGAAAACCATGAAAGAGATTCATGCAAACTTTGTTGTCATAAAATGTGGCACAAGTATTTATAAGAAGTATCCATTTTTTGCAGGCAACTTTAGATTTTTTATGTGAATGCAACTGTTGTGGACTGGGCTGTGGAAAGGTGAAGTGCCCCTTCTGCATCGAGGGGCTTGACTTTGATAGTTATGTACAAATGAAATCCTCTTGTTTAGAGAAAATAAATCAATAAATAAATTTACCGTAAAAAGAGACCATGACTATTAATATCAAGCCCAACAAAAAATTCACACAACATCACAGTCTCTTTCAAAACCATTTCTTGGTCTTGTCACACAAAAAGAGTGTTTTAGGCAGCAACATCAAGCGATGGCTGCAATGGAGATTGGTACATTAGGGGGCTTTAAATAATTTAGCTTTATAAAACTGATTAATGTAGATTGATTTTATTTTTTAGGAGCAAGGTACATTGAGAATTGTACATGCCCCGTGGCTACACACGTGTCACGCCAAATGGATAACGTTACGTGACATGTGAACTGTGCGAGTGAAACGGACTCTCAGACAAGTGTGACCCTGAGACTGGAGTGTATCTGGACTGTCAACACAGCCACACAGGTATTAGCCATGAAGATAATAGAGACGAAAAATTTCTTTGAAGGAAGAGGAATGCGCAAATATTTTCGAGACCAGGGAGAAAAAAGTCTTTAAACTTGATTATGTGTCGGAGAAAAAAGAACTTTGAGAGACACAATGTAAGACTCAAGAGATTGGATTCCAATGCCCTAGTACAACTTATGCACGACCTCTTTTTATGAATTCATGTGCTTATCTTGATTTACAATGACCAAATATTGCATAGTTAGTTACTTCTTTTAATTTTTGTTCTGTTCAAATTTTTATTATTGTTTATCAGGCGACCATTGTGAAATGTGTCAAGATGGTTGGTATGGAAATACCATTAATGCCACTAATGCCATACCTAACGACAGTAGCCCGTGCCCATGCCCCAGCGGACAATTTGCCTTCAATCAATTCGCTAAGACTTGTGTGCTTTCAAGTGACGGTCTATCTGTGTGAACTGCACCGTGGGCCACGAGGGACGGTATTGTGAACGATGTATGGACGGTTACTTTGGACGGCCAAGGGTAAGTGTGAGGCTCAGTGAGGTGTAGAACCTCGATAAACGACAATCCTACGTTGTAAAATCAAAGACCAAAATAATCAAAATGACTCATCAGAATATAGGAGAACTACGCTTGAAGCCAACGGGAATTCGAAGAAATCACATTCAAACTGTTTAAAGCGCGTAGAAATATGAGTGACCAGCTTTGCAGCCATTTTGGTTTAAAATTACGGATCGAACGTGATTAAGCGTAGCCAATGCAAATCTCGTAATGGTTCGGACACTCAATAAAAAAACCACCCGTAACAGTTTATTATGTTGATAATTTTGATGCTAAAATGTACGAAATGGATCCTCCTATGACCGATAAAGTGAATGTCTTTGAAGCCATTTCAGTCCCCATCCATTCTTCATATTGATTTACCACGTTTTGGTTGGTTTAAATGTGAAACTCAGCTTCATTTTAAACGTGTGCCGTGTTCTATTTGCCCTTTTCGTTATTCATACTTTTGCATCATCTGTTTACCTTTCATTGTGTTTTTTTTAAACCGCCTTACTTTTACTCTTTCTATTCATTTATGTTTTATTTATTTATTTACTCATTAATTTTAACAGGAACAGGAACAGGATGGGCGATGTCGAAGTGTAACTGTATCAACAACACAGATCCTGCAGCCGCCGGTAACTGTAACATCACAACAGGCGAATGCCTTAAGTGCCTTTAAAATACCACAGGGTCCAACTATCAGTGGTGTGCACCAGAATACCATGGAAATGCATTGAACAAAAATTGTACACTTAAGTATGTCTTTTCTGTAGAGACGCTCTCCAAATGTTGGCAAGGCGAGTTGTAACAAATAGTCAAGGGATAATTTACGAGAAATTAATTAAGCGAGATTGCAACGTTAAACGGTGGAATTGAGCTAAAAAACCTGAAGCATAAGTATCCTTTCGTTGTCTATCGCCTGAGAAAGGTTGGGGGAATTTTGGGTGTATCACGATGAAATTGACCTGATCCCCCCACGAGGTTCTGTAGTATTTGTATGGTCCCCCCTATGGCAGTTGATTGGCGGTCAATTTTCTATAGTCACCCCTTTAACTCTGTTGGCGACGACTGATCCCCCTTTGTCCCCCCTGAAAACTATGTGATCCACGAGGATCTGCTAAAGAAGCAGCAGTGCGAGACGGTACATGTCCAAGTGCGAGGCGGCCCGGCTTCCTGAATATGTAGATACTCCTGAGCGCCTATTAAAATTCTTTGTGGGCATCCCGAAAATGGATTCAAATGAAACTAAATGGCAGTCAAATACTATATTTTGCCACACTTTTCAGATTCGCTCGTCGATTGCGCTTTTTTTTTTAAATTATTGTCACTGATGTGAGTTCTTTTTTCTTTCTTTCGTAACTGCTGAATATTGTCGAAACGAAGAGGGCTAATTGTTGCCTGAGGGATGCAGAAGCAGAATTTTGTTCCTTTCATTTTCATTTAATCATTTGTTATTTCTCAGCGAGTCAAGCATGAAAAGTCCAGGGGGCGGTTGGCGCTTGTCACCATGCTGGCCGACAAAGCGGCTTTTCATTTCACCAGAGACTGATTAGTGTATATGACTTTGGTTCGTCGTTTTTTGGCCGACGCTGCTATTTACTGTACATTGCATAATAAAGTACACGGTTAGTGTTCATAATGTGATGCATTCTGAGTTTAAAACGGTAGTGATTCTTTTTGTCCTTGTCAGGTTGAGCATCGTTTCTCGGCGTCATACTCCTCAGGACAGAGTTTGCTGACGAAGATAAACAAAAACCTGGTCGATATGGAAGAAGGATTTAAGTGCTTTGATACTGCGAAGACTTCGGTCTTCGGTCACAGAATGCGTCGTGCACAGCTGAACTGGTATTTGATATCTCTGAGCAAGCGAAAGAGGTACGGACGAGTTCTAAGTTTTTTTTATATTAAATTGTCACCACCTTTGGTCTGTAAGCTGTTCCTTAAACATTTTTCGTCACTGATCCACTGACTGGGGCGATTCGAATCCATTCGATCCAAATTACTGGATACGTGAACAGAGCAGAAAGCTTACGTACTCTGGGCCAAATTTTTGTCAGTCGCTTGTTAGGAAATGTAAGGAAAGTGGCAAATTTGAATGTGAAGAGTAGCCCTTGAAATTGATGAATGCATGGATTGATTTATTTTAATAATGATTTTGAACAATTCTAAATGTTTTCGTGAAGAATGACACTAGATGGAAGGGCTAGTAAGAGAAAACGCGGCGCCCAAGGTATAAGATGCACGTAGGTTATGGGGCCATTTGTTAATATGGGGCATTGATCGTTCGCTATCGTAAATAAAAGAAAAGAAGAAGCTACTTCTTGCGTAGCTGTTGGTTTAGCGTGCGCTTAAGCTACAAGGAGCGAAACCGCGATAGGCTTGGTATCGAAGGTATGTTCCATTCGCGGCTTGACGCACATCACTTGGCGCGTATAATGCGCACGAAACCGTCAGCTGCGCAGGGTGTTAAGAAGCTTTTTTGATCAGTCGAGTGGGTCCAGAGACATGAGTTGAAGATGAGCGCGTCGCTTCAAATCACCAAGCGCAGCATACTCAGACTTGGCCTTAAGAAATTCTCTCGCAGTTTTGTACTGGTACACATTTGGGATCGAAGAAGTTCGAGTAAGGCTCATGCTAGAGCTTGAGCTTGAAAAGATAAACTAGAACGACTATCGGCTGTGTGTTAATCAGGATAGAAATTGAGATGCTACAAGCCCATGTAGACTTTTAATTAAATTCTCGTGAACGGCCTCAAGAGGGGAAGAACGCGGGTAATCAGGGAAGCGATTCGTTTTCGTTCAGCATCTGGGTGGTTGAGAAATTGGCGCATGTTGTTGAAGTCCTAAATGTAATAACTGTCCTAAATGTAATAAAGTCCTAAATGTAATAACATTTGGTCCTAAATGTAATAAAGCCCTAAATGTAATAACGTTAGGTCCTAAATGTAATAAGCCTCCAATGCAATCGTTTAACTGTGCTAACATTGAGATGTTAAAGTGACAGCTGTTGCACCAAAGAATCCTCTGACCTGTATTCATGGCATATTGCGGGCTCGCTGATATTAATCAGGGTCTTTTTATTTGCTAAAGACGTAGGTTGAGAAGCATTGGCTACAAAACCTTATACTGATGTGCTTTTGGCATCAAATTGACGGACGCAAAAGCAATGACAACGCTGATCAATAGCTCTCTTTATATCATGGGCTCAGACTCTCAATTAAGTGTAACAGATTTTGACGATATACTTGTGTGATCAGTGCTGAAGTTAACACTTCATGAACCAAATTACAAGGAAAAGGAAGTCCACTGACCTATACGTTAGACAAATTCCGGGCTCGTAAGTGCATTTTTTGTACTGTCTTTCCTTACCAGATTTGTATGGGTCTGCATAAAACATATTCATAAGTGTTATTGACCAAGCGTGAGGTCAAAATGGCTGGATATTGGGCGAGTTCTTTTTTTTTTTTTTTTTTTTTGCGTTTTTATGGACTGAGACGAAGTCTCGGTCCGTAAAAAAGGTAAAAAAAGAACGAGGCTAACATCCAGTCATCTTGACCGAACAAGCTTGGTCAAGAGAGTTTGTATTCTCTTGGCTTAACCATTAAAGGATTCATTGTATAGAAAAAGATCTCGCTTTGATAAGAATCAAGAATGGCTTGTTTATTTCGAGAACCGATAGTGAAAGCCAACTGTGTTTGCAACACAATAAACCCAAGAGGGTCGTTTATTTTTTTTCTATGTATATGCCGATATTGTCCAAAAGTTACGAACTTTGTAAGTTTTCTTGCGTGGGGTCAATACGGGGAATCCAAAGCGGGTGAGGGTAGGCCCATCATGCCCGCTCAGGTAGCCAGTCAGAACACAGGATTCACTTCATCTTGCTCGCACGCGCTGCTAGCTATATGATAAAGTGACTTACAGAGCAAGATATCTACTGACCGATCATATATTATTCCATTTCACGATCACAGGTCTCGACCTGTTGCCTTTTTTCCACGCAAGAGCATTGAGCTACAACATTCAACGCATGATGGTCAGTTGATAGTCTGATAAACCATTCATTTTTTTCCTTTAGCCCCTTATGACAGGTTCATCAGTTCCCGAACCGAAATATTGGGAAAACATATATTTTACAGTTGATCTCAAGTCTACATTTCATTTTTTGACTTCATCTCTTCTCCCTCCGTGAGGGGAGAAAATGAATAGATAAATAGATGAATGAAAAAGGAAAGCTCAACAGTTTCCATTTATAGTCATATGGTACATGAACTGATTACTGAGGTGGAGTAAAGCCATAGAGGGCTACAAATGCAATATCCCAGGTTCAAAATTGAATAAATCAAGGTAGTCATTCTTAAAAACGAACTCAAATGCTTCATTAAAATCAATTGACACTGAATAACATAGATGTGCAAAATTTCAGTAACACTATTGATGATAACACTTTTCTTTTGGATTAACATGTGACAGCGAAATCATTCAGACTGCTCTAAAATGGTGCATCAGTACTTAAGACTTTAACACGAACGATAACATCAACAATAACATGCTAGTTCATCATCAATTGTAGTAAATTTCTTTTCCAAAAAGTCCTAATGATTACGTACCAATCGATTCCATCCTATTGAGCTTCCAGCCCAGCACAAGCCTACTTTAGGCTGGAAATAATTTTTTCCAACTCGATCAATAAACCGCTCAAAGGACCATACTTCGACTGCTGATATTTCTTATGTCCAGCAAGTAAAAGGACGCCCATTGATATCAGCGAGCCCGTAGTGTGATATGTATACTGGTCAGCGGTTTTTTGGTGCAACAGCTGCCACTTTAACATCTCAAGGTGGATGTCCGCCATAACAATAATGCACTGAAGGAGTTAAACGATTGCATTAGAGGCTTATTACATTTAGGACTAAATGTTATTACATTTAGGACTTTATTACATTTAGGACCAAATGTTATTACATTTAGGACTTTATTACATTTAGGACAGTTATTACATTTAGGCCTTCAACACATGTTTCGTGAACCAGCCATCGAGCGTAGAAAAGCATAGCCGATTCAGTTTTAGATTACTTTTGGATAACTTGAGAATCGAAATTGAAAAGTGCCTGAAGCAGTTATTTATGATTTGAGTTTATTCGTTCGCTCTTTGGTAGACCTTCGACAACAGCACGGCATCTTTGCCACCAGTCGCGTCCTTGGTGAACTCGTTCTATGAAGCGGCAAGCGGAAACTTCTCAGAAGTACAAGAAGCTCATCAGGATTCAGAACTACTTAAGGACGTGACAGATGCTGAAGGTATGTATATTAGAAGATACTTTCAGTTATGTGGCGCATTTAATTGTTGCTACAACTTGGCTTTTCAGTGGGCATTGAACCGATGATAAAAAGTGAAATGTGCGAGACATAAACCGTCTGAGTTGTCTGTGACGATTCATCGTTTTCCATTCCAGTTCTTATTTCGCTGTTGAATCTTTACCCTCTGAGTATCAAAGAACTCTTCGGTGATCTTTGCCTTATATTTGGGTCATATATGAAAAGTATCTTACATACCTCTAGTATCACTGACGCTCAAAGTGTTGAGTGGTTAGGTAGAGTTGGGGAGACTTTTCCAGGAATTTGGTCGTCAAATATTGTTTTGGGTTGCGTGCGACTGAAATAGAACAATCCCTTTGATTCTTGAGAATTTTTCAATACCTTACAAAATCATTGAATTTTTAGGCACATTCCTTTTAATTCCTTTCAGAATTGCTGACCCAATACATCGCACAGAGAGACGAACATGAAAGACTGGGTCGAGAACTCCAAGAACTTGATAGAGAGGCAGATGAATTACTAGGACAATTTAGTGTGGCTGCTGAGCAGTATTCACAGTGTGCGGGCGCATAACGAACTCTGGTCTGGACAACAGACGTCAGTCTTACTTTATGTATATATTTGTATCACGATCATATTTTGTTTTACTTACAAAGACAGTCGACAGGTTTTTTTTTTCAAGCGAGCGAGTATAATATTTCTTTCTTGCTGTATGGTTAGGTCGTGCCATTTTTTTTAGCGGTTTTGCTGCATTTTAAATGATTTTCAGTGTAAGTAAAATCCAGCGGTAAAATTGAAAGCTGCTTTAAAATCTGCCGCGACTGGTAGATTCTGAAATTGCAAAGGAGTTACGTCACGAAGCATTATTTAAGGGACGAGAGGGGTCATCATAAATGTTTGTTAAGGAATAGAAACCGGTAGATTGTAGTTCATGGATGCAAACTATTTTATGTATTTGGATGGATAGGTGCCCTGATAAAAGTTGAATTTTATCGTACGATAAGTCAATTGAAGGCATAACGATAATTGATACAAGTTTTAAGCTCAAAAAAATGCTGGAAACATGGATAATTGGACATAGACATTTAAAGTTTTAATTTTTAATTTTAGCAAGTCTTCCCGGACCTCAGCATATGTCAGCTAATGAATAGTAGTGATTTAAATTCTAAGTATTACTAAATTGATATTTTGGTTTTAAATTTGCTGATCTGCTAGAGGCAAATTTTTTAAAAGCTCTTTTATGGTAGGAACAACGACTTGCGCGGGCCTCTTGTTATTCTAGACCTTAAAACCCATTAGAACAAAAATTACCCGTATGGAAATGCTCGAAGAATGTCTCTTTGAGGATGCTGAGGCTATGAAGAGTTTAATGTTGCATGTCATTTCTGTATTTTTACTTGAGACAAATTTGCGCGTTTTCAGCTGCTCTGCTACAGGGATCCTAAGAGGACAAGGGCACTATTCACTGGAATTCACTTAGGGACGCGAATAGAGAGATTTTGTTGTTGCCATAAGCTAGCATTATGTTGACGCCTTTTGTTTCTCCGTGGACCATTTCTAACGATATACGTGACTTTCGGAAAAACGTCAAAGCAACAGTTGCCTCAAACTATAAGGAACACTGATCTCTCAGAGTGCTATAGCTAAAAGAGCAAAGATGTTTCGACTGGAGAAAGTGAACAAAAATTCTGTGTAACCCACGCAAAGTCGTTCCTATCGCTTTCCCAAACACTAACAACGACTCTTGAGGAGAGAGAAGTATCGAGCGTTACATTTTTGATTTTATGATTAACTTTCTTTGAAATAAATATTAGGTTTTAGTAAATGTCATCGAAACGTTCTTGCCCTGATCAATATGCGTGGTTACGTAGTAAATTTATATCGGATAAGAGTGTGTTGTACAGTATTTATTTTATAAGATGAATGATAGTTGGCATTTTTTATTCTTACCTATGATCGTGAGGACCTATGAGCGCAAAAGATCTTAAAGGGCTCAACTAGCGTCGTTCCCAGTATACCTCTGGGTTAGATAGGAAAGAAAGATGGGACGCCACTAAAGACGGACGAAAGCTGGGTCTGAAAAGTGTGGGGAATATAAAAATTACCCGCTTTTCTCGCTGACCTCGGTCTTGCCTGACTCGCCTGTCAAAAGCTGACAATTCCGCTCATTTTGCAAGTTTCCCCTTAATAGTGCAGTTATCAAAAGAGCAAGCTGTTCCATAAAACTTTGTTTGTTTGTTGCGTTGGATTTGCTATTCATACAACTATTGGCAGCATGACTTGCATGTTAACAGGTCTTACGGAACCTCATCACTGATCGTGCAGAGTTCTTAAAAAAATTACAGTAATCCCTAAAGCTGAATAGTAACCTGAAAGCACGTTCACGAGTAGAACCGAGTAAGACCAGCAGCCATCTGTTGACAAAAACTGTAAATTCAGAGTCTTAAACCGATAATCATTTCACTAACGATACAAGAAAACTAGAAGGAAAAAAAAACCTACTAAGTCATAAAACAATCGAAGCTCATCATCTGTGGCTTGCTACGCATGACTTGTGACGCATTATTATTTATTATAATTAATTATTTGCGAACTTTAGAAAACCAGCTTTTGTCCAATGTATGTAAAAAGTATTTGTTAATTTATCATGTTGGATAGGCAGTAATTATTCTTTGATCCACCTTGTGTAAGATGACGGTCACACAAAAGCACTCAGCTCCATTACATCCAAGATTTCCAACTTGTAACGAAAATCGCTTCTGTATAACCTCCTTCTTATCATCAGAGCTGTGAGGTTTTAAGACATCAGGTTGTATAAACGTATCTTTAACTAGATTCCAGACGACGTTTTCGTCAGACGAAAGGAAAAGGCTTTTCCCCTGTATTCCTGGGTGCATGTGACCGGCTCTGATTTTTTCTTTAACGGTATCGGTGAGGGTGAAACCAGGCACCCAACTCCTTGTAGAATCTGTCATTTTGCTATTAGAGTCCTTTCAGGTTTGAGTGTATTTCCTCTCAATTTTTGCCAACTTTTTCGTTTACCACTTCAAAATAACCGAACGTAATTGTTTTAACTCTCGGAAAAACAATCTTGGAACTGTCCTACACGATATTCATGGAAACTGTGTTTAGGTTTTAGAGGTTCGCTTGGAAATAATTCTTCGGAAACAGAAAATGAGGGTCAACACGACAAAGCAGTAGCCAATCAGATTGTTGGTTCAGTCACAATTTAAGCTCACACCTGAGTGAGTTTCAAATATCTTAGTGTACGTCTGTTTATAGCACACGCGCATGCGCTATGTTTGTGCGTTGGTCGTCTTGTGTCCCGTTCGACACCTTTGTGTAATAATTTTTGGAGAGGATAAAAGATTGTGACAAGTTTACCAACATTTCTAACTCTGTGGATACTCGTAATGTTTGTTGGCTCTTGGGATGGGCATATTTTAATGATCAAAGTCCCAACAAAACGTCAAAAAAGCCCGAAAACTATGAGTTTGAGATTTGATTTATTGAAGAGCGAGATGCGCACATGAGACTACAAACCTTGAAGGTTAGTCTTAAAATGTTGATTTTTTACTTGTAAGAATCACAAAGTTGTATGTGGAGACGATCGTGAGATATTTGATTCGATGAAAGAGTTAATTTAGAATGTGATCTTATTTTACTTCAACTTTGAAGTATAATTGCATCAAGTTCGAGGTGACCCCCACGCTTCAAGTCACTTCAAATCACATCGTCTTTACTTTCTCTTTAAGTCACATAGGACACAAGCCTTTAAAAAATGTTTCAGCTTCAGGATTTAGTTCCTCTTACTACAACCTTCGGTAAATTCGTTTTTGGGAGGTTGAGGTGGATTTTCCTATTCATAGCTCACAACCGTCTTTAGCCTTTTTGCTCTCCAAGTCTGTTGTACTTGGTATGTAGGCATATGTCTTAACATCGGTTAAATGAAACAAAATAATTGTCATTACATACGACCAGAGTTATGAAATTTTACTTCTGATGTACTCAATTGGCTGTTCATTGGTTAGTATTGTTGGCAGTTGTTCCTTTCACTCTCCCCAATCTTTTTCTCACACCTAGCAACAAGGTCAAACAAAGTCCATTGTTAACTTTGCAATTGTTTAATTAAAAGGTTTTACAGGGGGTTAATACTTTACAAGGTGAAAATCCATGGATTGTTTTCATAGTTTCTTTCAAACATGTGCAGCTGTTGTTAGATCAATGGATATGTTTGACTTTGTTGCTATGGGAGTGCAAGATGTGAATAATAACCAAAGCTTTCTCAGGTGTAATCAAACACATAATTATATTTAGAGTCAATAGCTCTTTAACTACGCAAAGGTTAGTAAAAGGTTTTACAGAAGGTTTATACTCTGCAGGGTAAAAGCTGTGGATGGTTTTCAAATTTTTTGTTTGACCTTGTTGCTATGTGTGAGAGGGAGATTGGGGAGAGTGACACTAACAACTTCAAACGGTACTAACCAACAAACACACATGAATACATCAATAGTAAAGTTTTATTCCTCTGGTGGTTTGTAATGACAATTATTTTGGATGTTGGGAAACTAACATATAAGCTTTGGTGAACTGGCATTAGACATTGGCGAATCCGCCTCATATGTTGGTGAACAGGTTTTGGTGAACTGACATGTTGGTGAAATGGCCGGCATTTGCCATGCAAAGTGAATTTTAAGTTGATTTGTACTATGAAACTCACGGATTAAAATTATCAAACTTTCTCTGGTTCTTAGAATATGAAACGAGTAATACAACTAATGGATTATTACTTAAGGGCTGGAACTCCTCATTTCTTTAGAATGTTGACTTTTCTATTGTATTTAAAAACAAATTTTTGGTTAAAATGTCTTCAAACCAGTTTTACTTGCATTTTGCTTTGCTAGAAATGTCTTGATCCTTTAATTTTTATTTCTTAATTGAGACTGATGATAAGAATTAACTGTTATGTTTTCTGCTGTTTAGGGAGATGTGAAGTAACCCCAATACATACAGTTGGTACTATTGACAGAATGGATAGGTGTGACATCTACTGTGACAAGCTGGTATTCAAGAGATTATCATTAGTACCAGAAGCTTACTAATGGTTTAAATTATCAATCTATCAATCTTTTGTTCTCTCCACGCAACTTGCCTCTACTAGCTTATGCTATATGCAACTTGTGTCTAAACTCTATTTGTAACCATAAAATTACCAATAAAGTTTTTGAAAGTTCTGTGCAAATTTCATTGGAAAAGAATGTGAGAAGTGATCATGTGAAATATTGTCATGTTCTTTAAGTGACTGATGTGTGATTTGATTAATAATTGTCTGCCATAAAATTGGCACAGCCAAGTTGGTTCCTATTACTGCATAATATGAGATGTCAAAGTTCCCCTTTGGACTTAAGTCTTATTTCTTTAAAATCTGATAGGTGTAAATTATCCATTTTCCATAGAGATCAAGAAACGTCTCTACATTAGTTTAATCTGACCTCATTTAGTCTTGTTCCCAAGAAAAAAAAGGGGCCTTTGGAAATGTTTTGTTTTTCATCCCCACTGTTAATATCAGCCCCACTGGTTCTTTGTTGTTTGGCTTGTAAAAAGAGTCTTCTCAGACCACTGGATTTTCACATAACTCGTGATTTAATAGATTGGAAATAAGGTTGCCAAGAGTGTATGTGATTTTGTTATGCAGTTGAAATGATAAGTGAATTTGATTTTTATCAGGAAATAATTTATTTAACTATTCATATCACAACTGGAAGCCCACATCATTGGTCATATCTGATGATATTTCTGAGTGATAAGAGATTTCCTTACTTCGATAAAATCCACAATTATTCCTCCATTTATAACAAGCTCTCCTTCGATGTAACGACAATATCTCTAGTACTAACGTTGTCTTACTTTTCTTTACTCGACATTGTCCTTTTTTGTTTTGATAATCGGCCCTGCCGGTTGTGATTCGTGCCAAAAGAAAGTTTTGAAACAAAACAACTTCTGTAAACTTTAATTTGTCGCCAGAATTGCAGGTACGTTGCACTAGCTGCACAGTTGAAGCTCTACAAAACGCTCACAGGAAAGTGACTATTTCAAATGATCAACGATAACTTGAGATAAAAGTATACTATTAAATACGTTTGGGCTCTTCGACTGTGCTCTTCGACAGGCCTCTTGCATCCTTCACAAATAACATCATCTACATCGATCGCCCCAAAAATCATAGCGCAAGACTCCAAGTCGATTGTATAATCTTTTGTTTTCAGAAAATCACTTCCTTCCACACGCCACACAACAATTTTAAGATTTTGATGCTTCCATCTAAGTTACAGAGGGAAAAATGTCAAGAAAGTTTCTCTCAAATACTCGATTCATAGTTGTTTTCCAACGTATAAATTTCGCATCAAACAAAAATTGATATAATATGTGCAGACAAAACATGCGTCAGCGGTTGTTCTCTCGAAGCCTTTAGAAAACAAAATGGCGGAGATCTATAGGTGTGCGGTGGGACCACAGTTATATCGCATTTTTACAAAAAATAGTCGACAAGTAAGTGTTGAGTGGACGCTTTTTCACCTTGAAAATAGCATTTAACCTTTTGGTTTTCGCGATTCGTTTGCTTATGTTTACTGAAACAAAGCTAGCCATCACCTGTCTTGTAGGTCGTGGGTTTTACTTAGTTTCGTTTTTTAGCTTCGAATATTCCTTCTTCTTTGTGGCGTTTTAATTTTATATGGCTTGAACTATTTCACAGAGTAGACCATACGAGGGGAATACCTTGGAGCAATGTGGCTCAGGAGTTTTACGAGCGGTAAGGGAATAAGAAGCCTACTTCAAGATTTGATCCTAGCTAAGCTTGAGCTCTAAAGAATACTTTGCCAAGTAGTTATTTTCGCGCAAAACTGAGCGTTGTGGGATTTTTCACGACGACAATTGTTTTGACTTTTACAGCAGATCAGCCTAAGGTTGGGAAGGAGATGAATATTTTGCATGAAAGCTTGAAAATCTTAAATCTCCGAGGGGTAGAGTAGTATTTCTTTCTTTTTCTCGGAAATTGGTTCCGACTGATATTTTTTTGTCTCCCCTCCATCACATTAAAGAAGTTATGTAACATTTTGTGAACTTCTTTTGTAGTTGTCATTAGCATGGTCAGTTTGTTACTCTACTTCCTTGTTAACTGCACCTGCCATAGGATTTTATCTCGTTAGGAAAGGTCTGTATCTCTTCTTGAAGTTTTTCTTACTAGTCAACAAACACAGTTATTGATAAGCTATGAATATTTTATACTGGGATGGCTTCATGTAGCTCTGCAAACAGCAGGGTGAAATAAATCATGTTTTCTTATTGGTTATGCAACCAACATACCAAGGAGGTGAAAATTAGTTAACTCTTGAACTTCCAGAGAGCTAAAACTTGTAACTTCTTCCAATAATATCCATTTATTATCCAGCAATCAGGTAATAATAATAAAAGGGGGTAAGTTTCTGAAGAAACTGTGGTAATGTGTCGGTGGAAGAGTATAACAAGGTAAACACTCTGAAAAAGGGCTAATGCTTGAAATGTCAGCTTTATAACTCTTTATGGCGGCCAATTTATATTATCACCTCAGTTTATAATACCAAATTATCAGAATACTGAAGCTTATCAGTTAGAAGTTGTTATCTACATCTTACACCTATTTCTTGTAACTGAATTTGCAAGGAAGTGTGTAGAAGCTAGAGGGGAGAATTAACAATCAGATCTTGGGAATTTAAGGGTTAAGAATGATAAAGAACATTTCATTAGAAAATTTGGGCTAAATTTTTGCAATTTTGTAAATCATGGTGTACTTACAGAAGTTAAGTTGGCTGCCAATGGCTCTCTGGTTCTGAACATAAGACCTTCAACCACTTTCAGCTCAGATTTTGTTGATAAGATTTGTATTGCTTCACTTGTGATCACATATGTGTATCCCATTAAGTAGCTACTTATAAAAATGTATATAACTGAAACCCCTGTAAGGTTGTTTTTTTATGACAATGGAATTTTATTATAAAGCTTGGAAAGCAGTTGAACATAATATTTCACTTGTAAACTTATCATATCATTATTAATGATGATACAGAGATTTTAAGTTTGCACATTTGTTTACAGTTATCTTTTGACAAGGAATTAATTATGTGATGTTCTTCCTTTGATATTAGGTCTGTTGAGTCATGCAGGTTTGGCAAGCTTGTCTAGGTTCATTGGTACAGGACTTATGGTTGTGTTTGGAGCATTGTGCATAAGAGGTACAGTTGTATAGTTGGGGATTTGTGCTTAGTCCATTGAGTGAACTTACACTACTACCCTTGTGCTGTGCTGTGAGAAATTAACTCAGTGTTTCTAATCATCATTTTGGTAAACAATCTTTTTGTGTTAATAATAACTTTATTAGTGTGATTTGATTCCCAAAAACTGGGATTGCTTATCATCACATAAAAATTATTAACAACCTAACACTGGGCATAATATTCTCACTGACAGGCTCCTCTCACACCCTAACAGACCCAACTTTTGTGAAAGACCTATGCACTGCCAGCATTTATGTTTCTAGTATATCAATAGTAACTCTTATTTGGAAATTTATAAATCAAATGTTGATTCTTAAAGAATGAACTATTAGTGACTCCTAATTTTTATGTGCAAAATTTATTGAGGGCTGATTTTTTATGTTAATCTTCCTTAAACACTTCTCTTAATTCTATGCTTTTAAAAAAAAATCCTTAATTTATTTTTTGTTATTTTATCTGCAGGATATGGACGATTTAAAAATCAGGACTATAGAGTATTCTTAGCTCTTTTAGAAGAAACAAGAATGAATAACAATGAGGAAAACAAGGTGTGTTGATGTCCACAGACATAGACTTGATCAATATGTATTCTACAACAGTTACCTGAATGCTACCAAAAGTTGCTTTATTCTTACTCTAGATAGGTCCAAATATTTGGACTATTATGTGTTTGTCCAGCCTTCTATTGACTCACTGTAAAGGTGAAGGAAAGTGTGGGGGAGTGGGGTGGGGAGGGGTAAAGTCAGCTTATCCTGATTTAAATGGCATAAAGTGAGGGGATACAGTTTCTTCCCAGTATTTTGCCACTGTTAGGTGTATGCTTCTCTGGTACACATTTACCCTGCTTGGGGAGGAGTGGAATTATAAAAGAGTGTAGTGTCTTGCCCAAGAACACAACACAATGACCTAACCTGTACTTGAACCTGGAACTTTTGATCCAGAGTCCAGCAACCCAACCTGAGGCTTACTATGTCTCTCCATGTATGACTGACATTCATGTTAATTTGCAATTGAATGTTACAGAAAAGACTTGGGTTGTATGACTTCAGTTTTGAAGCTTGGCCTGTTGATTACAAATGGAATGAATCCAAAGCTGAGTAAGTCATTCAAGCTGAATTTTTCTCTCTCTTGAAGATGACAAACGACATCCATGTTCATATTTACTGTATTTACACAATTGAACATAAATTTATTTGAACATATATCCTTAATTAAGGAAGTTATAAATAATATTGAAGACATTGCATCATGAAGTCACATCATGCAGCATATTAGAAGTGAATTATTGCTGCATGTGTGTGGTTTTAAACTTTTTCTCACAACTAAATTAATGTTTTACAGAAAGACATATATTTTTATGTGAACAACAATTCTACAAAGCCATTTTTCTTGAGCTAGGTATCATTAATTTCACATGTATTTGTTTTTTGTTACTGGTTGTATTTATATAATCATGTATTTATTGCTGTCCTTGGAAAATTATTTTTGATAATAGTCAAGATGTGCGCAGGGAAGCCAAGAATACCACCTCTCAAAGCAGGTCTTCAAGATTTTTATCCTTTCTTGGATCATGGCCTTGTGACTTTCTCAGGTAATAATCATTTGGCAATAAAAATCTGCGATAAAATATTATAAAGCATAACACGACATTTCGACATTTCCAGAACGTCATTATCAAGTGAACTAGAATAATAAAATCGAGTATATATATAATGAAGCGGTGAATAAATTACAAAGCGTTACAAGTTAAACAAAGAGTTTGGCCCTAATGGAATCGCTCTGGGTGTTTAAATTGGGCCTTATTGTTCTTATGTACAACATTTCATAAACAAGACAATCCCATTTCGTGCCACATTTTTTAAGCATTCTAAACTGGCTCTCATTGAGTAAGTCAATGTTCCCATGGGCATCTCTCAGGTGGCGACCAATGGCAGAGTATCGATGATCAGCAATGCGTTGAAACAAATGGCACGTCGTATATCCGACGTAATTTGAATCACACAAATCACATTTAAAACAGTAAACAACGCTATGCTGATTTACGATGCGTGGCTTGATTTCTTTAAGCTTTAGGTCCTGCTCAAGTTTCTTACTGGTGTAGACTGGTTGTACATCAATGCCGATTTTTGAACTGAGATCGCGCATTTGTCTTTTGGCAATGATCGCTGAGACTTGATCTTTGAAAGGAATACTGACTCTTTAAAGTTTCATCAGATTTTGTCTTAGTATCTGGTGTAGAGGAATAATCACATTTGTCGATAATACAGTGATAATACAAATGTGATTATTCCTCTACACCAGATACTAAGACAAAATCTGATGAAGTAAAATCTGTGGCACGAAATGGGATTGTCTTGTTTATGAAATGTTGTACATAAGAACAATAAGGCCCAATTTAAACACCCAGAGCGATTCCATTAGGGCCAAACTCTTTGTTTGACTTGTAACGCTTTGTAATTTATTCACCGCTTCATTATATATATACTCGATTTTATTATTCTAGTTCACTTGATAATGACGTTCTGGTTCAATTAAAAGCAGGAAGGAATTCTAGTGAAGGTCTAGGTTCTTATTCTTACACTATGCAAAATTTGGTGATTTGGTGTAATTACTTAACAAAGGATAATTGAGAAATTTAATTGTAATAAGGTTTAGGATTGCTTTGAAGACCAAGCTATTGTCTAGCCAAGTCATCATTTTTCTTGCAATCTGTTCTTTTATTGCCACTGCCATCATGATTTGCAAAGTCCCACTTTGTTCCTTTAGTTGGCAATGCTTTGTACATATTGATTAACATTTTTCAGGTATTTTGTGGCACACTCAGTTGGTCGCCCCTTGATCTACCCTGGATCCACTGGTCTTCTTCAAAGTGGATATGGTACAGCTTTAAATGCTTTTTTACTGCTCTTAAAAATTTTCTTGACTGAAGAACAATAAATAGCAACTCTTTTAATGCTGATTACCTGCCAACTTATGGGGATGAAGTGAAATTCTTGCGACATTTAAATTGATAGATGTTTGTCATGTGCATGAGAAATAAATCATGTAAAAGGTTTTATATGCAGAAAGTTCTGAAATGAAAAGTAGATTAAAACTATAGAGATGACCAT